AGGGTGTAAGGGTTTTGGGGTTTAAGGATGTTAAGGGCCGAGGGTTTAGGGTTTAAGGATTAAAGGCTTCAGGGCAGTTTAAGGGCTGCAGGGTTGAAGGGGAAGTCTGGGCTTACGGCTTAGGAGGGGGTTGGGCCGGGATTAGGGCTAGCGCCGAGGGTTGTTTTCCCAGCCGCCAGGGATTTGATTCAGGGATAGGGCATGTAGTGCTCGGCCTCGTTTTGGGTCAGCGAACGCGTTATATATCGCCACACCCCTGCGAAGAATACTTTAGGCATATTCAGGTCTGAATTAGCCAGCCATCGTTTCTTTAGGGCTACAAGTGCATCAAAACGATCATGTGCCTTACGCATGAAGCACGTTGCCGCGGTCTATTCGGGTTTGGCTTTGCAATGTGGCCACAGGTACGCATTCACCTCATTAAAGTTTCTGCTAGCTGTATCGCCTTCCGTGGCAGAATGTGTATGTCCTTAAGCCCAAAACCTCACCCCTTCTCATCTGGCTAAACAAACTGCGCCAGTGCAGCCTCCACGTTGCCGTTGACACGTGAACAGCGAGCCTTCAGGCATGTCTGCGCCCCCCCCACCCCCCTCCCCCCCGGAACATTAAGAACCGTTGAGTCGTGCCGACAAATGCCACTTCAGCCACTCTAAAAACAAGAAAGCGTGCTATGGAGACATGTTTGCGCCCTTTTGAAGGGGTAACAGTGACAAGATGGTTTTGTACTTTGAGGTGTTCTTCGCGATAGAATAGCTCAATTAGTGGCAGCCACCAACCTTGAGCGTAAGCTGAGCATAAGGGACGGGAAGCAGCTGGATACAGCAGGTCTATACAGAACCGACAAAGAGACGGGAAACTATGCGGCACTGCTGCTTCTGTAGCTGTTTGGCTCGGAGTGCATTCCGCGCGTGCAAGAAACGAAGCTACCTGTGCCAGGGTTGTGTGCCGTGGCCATACATCACACGACTTCCTGCAAAGCAAAAACCATACCCCTCGAACAGGCGAAGCAGTGAGGTCCAATATGGCCTTTAGAAGAACACCAAAAGATGCCTGTAAGTTCGACGACCCTCCATCCCACTGGTGTGGGCGACCACCCAAAGCGCCTGCATTGTGATGGCCAGGGCAGTGGAATGCGACTTCCGCATGCCTGGAACGCCATAGCACATCTGGTGCAGGTCCCGGGCGGAGATGAACCTCAAATGATTCGCACCGCACGCTTCACGCTTCATGACTTCACATTGACCCGAAGAACCTTAGACTGTACAGCTAATGAGATGTTGCAGGCTCCCTGAATTCTACGGCAGCTTTCTGCGGCTGCGTGGCGGTACACGAGGGGCCGTTGCGGTGGGCTGGTGCACCGTCCAGCCCCGCATGCCACCATCTTGGATGCTGCCTTTCATGGTGCCAAATGCAGGGCTCGGACCACCCACCCCGACATGCTCGAACACTTCATGTGAGGCATGTAAACAGCAGGTGTGTAACTCAAGCAAACAATTGTAAAGAATAGCTTGTATCTATCTACCGGTGCATCTCAAACTTTTCGCAACTTTCGCGTGCGAGTTGCTGCGATGTTGCCTAGCCCCCTAGATTTGTGTTTGTTTTGTCGAAGCAGCTCTTCTCGTCAAATTGACACAAAAGGCTTGAACATCACATTAATCACGAGTCGTGCGAGATGTTCCAGAAGCAATCATCAACAGCACCTGTTGCCCACTTTTCTTGACTTTCACGCACGACATGCTGCGGTCACATATCTTCTGGATGTTACTCTTGTTGCAACATGGGCGTCGAGCTGACTGAAAAAGGCGTATAGAAACCACGCTAGATTTGAGTTTTGTTGGACGAATGGTTTGATTTTAGCTAAGATGGCCGACTAAGTGTCTTTAAGGGATTGTCAACAGAAATACCTAGCAATTTTCTAATACCATCGGTAGCAACTGCATACCGATCAATCCAAGATTCAGATCACGTCGCCACACACACATGCCCGCAACTGTCGAAGGACTGAACACACAGCTACTTCATTAAGCTCGGATTGCCTTGCTTGCCCTACTTCCATCTCCTTGAAATACCCAAAGTAGGGGTACGCCTTGCATACCCCAAATAGAACTGAATCCCCTGGACTCCCCAAAAAGGGTAGCCCCATGTATGCCCACCTGCGTCTAGGGCTCGTGCACCGTTTCGTCGCATCTTCGCCGCTGAGCTCGCGTTTCCATGCCAGCAGCCGGTCGACCGCCAGGCTGGAGCCGAAATGCCTCCAGCGGTCGCCTTCTCCAGAAGCGAACGATTAGAAGACCAACTTAGTTGTCCAGAAACCTGGGGGATTGAAGGTTAACCTTTAGGATTCTAAGGGGATTATACTACCCCAAAAAGGTTAAAGGTTACCTACTCTACTACTAGGCCAACAATGTCGTTGTCTAACATGTTCTTATCCTCAATTGGCTCATGCCCCCTCATGTACTGTAAGCTTCTGGTACTGGCTCCAAGCATTTGCCAAGCCAGAAGCATCCGCAACACAAAACACAAAAGTTTAGTGGCTCACGCAGGACCGTGCTTCATGACTTTCCTTCCTTGGCGACAGCTTGGGAGCCGCCGAACCGTCATCAATCCAGCCCTTTGGAAGCCCTTCTGACACTTGTTGCCACCCGTCTGCAAGCGATGAAGATGATGATGTGGGAACCCGAACAAGGAATCCCAAGCACATCATTCCGCGTAACGAGGTGGGAATTGGACTATAGATGCCAGACCTACACAGAATCTATCAGCAAGGAGAGCTGCTTTGAGACACGACCGGCCAAACCTGCATGAAGCCTCTTACTCTAGGGCCTTTCAGAACCCATGAGCCCCAAAACTAAAGGGCATCACGTTCTAAAACCAGAAAGGGACTCCCAAGAATCAAGGCCTTCAGTCCCGCCTATTGAATATGTCCCCAGGATTGACTTTTGCGGGCTTCTCGGCCTAAAGCACCAGGGATTATGGGCAACGAAAGTCCACCTCAAAGTGTGCATGTCCTTACTGGGGGACCCCTCATCAACAACAAAGCCGACCCCCATCCCAAACCCACATAGCCCGTCAGGACGTCTCATCTCCCAGCGTTTAGCAAATAGCGCCACGCAACACAATCATCCACGCAACAAATCAAGCAGTCATCCCAGTACCCTATCACCTCAGCAAACCCAACAAAAGGATTAAGGTTCTGGGTTTAGGGTAGGGCTTAGGAAGCCCAACCACCACAAATCCAGGGCCGACACCATGTCGGACTCCAGATGATCAAGCTGCATGCAGGGGCCTGAGCTTTGGCACAAGCTGACGAGATTCGGTGAGCTCTGACAGTTATAGAATAGGTTTCCTTTCCTAACATAGAAAGTTTGGGGCATTTATCAACAAGCCCAAAGCAGCTAAAGCACAACCCAGTTCAGGGGTGTCAACTGCGAACGTGATTCCCCCTCCCCAAAAACGGAACCGTGGGGGCCTTTGGCAGGTGTTGAACCCCACACCGCGTTTATGAACCAACGCCGTACTCATGCCACATAATACCCTGAACCCTGAACCCTGAACCCTGAACCCTGAACCCTAAACCCTAAACTCTAAACCCTAAACCCTAAACCCTAAACCCTAAACCCTAAACCCTAAACCCTAAACCCTAAACCCTAAACCCTAAACCGAAACCCTAAACCCTAAACCCTACCCTCAACCCCAATATTCAATACTGGCCATGCGCAGGAGGCGCTCCGAGTCTAGACACAGCGAAAGAGCGTTCAGGGTTGACCTGCAGGCCATCCTGGCCCTAAACCCTTTTCTACAGCCTACAAACCCTAAACCCTAAACCCTAAACCTTAAACCCTAAACCCCAAAAACCCTAAAACCTTCTGAAGGCTCGCGCGTAGCCGCCCGGCAAGTACGGCGACGCGCTGGGGGCCTATGTAAACCCTTCTGGAGGGTAGTCTTACGTAGTCTTCATATTCCCAGCAACTAGGCTTTACATTTGGCGCCTTTGCGTGGGCGTTTTCAAACACAATGTCGCTCCGCTGCCACGTGCACCCGGGCACCCACATACGGGCTCCGCAGGCATGTCAGCTACCTGCAACATGAAATTTGGGATGTTCCCCCCAATACTAGCAGCCTTAATGGGGATTAAAGTACCCCCCCATGATAATATCGACTGTTAGTATAAGGGGGAACATGCAAACATCAAATTTTCAAAAGCAGGCCCTTGCCCCAAAAAAAATTGCCCTTCCTGGTCCACAGCTGGCATCCAAGCTTGGGCGGCCCTTTGGGCCGGGCATGGGCCTATCATCTGCTGCAAGTGAGAGGTCCAGCCTTCCCAGAAGGTCCATTTGCAGTACCACTCTGGAACTAGGTACCGAAAAACCATAGTTACTAAACAGGGCTTTCGGTACCAAATTCCATACGGGTACAAATTGACCCTCTGAGCTTGTAGACCAGCATTGTGCGAACCGCTTGACGGCATCTCACCATGCATCAGACGGACACTGGGTGAGACGTATTGGTTTGGCTTTGCCAACCAGATGCTGGCCACGCTTGGGTAATGCAGGAGCCTGAATAGTGCAAAACACATTGTCCTAAGAATCCCCTGCGTAAGGGGCATCGAATAAAGACTACGAAGAGGATCCATTCCCAGCAAAATCGACCCCTACAAGTTGGGCCATCGGCACTTGCCAAGTTCGCACCCTGCGTTTCGGTGCAACTGCTGTCCCAAGAGGCCAAATTCTACAAAGTGGATAATATTCGGATTCTAGGCTACCCAGGCCAGAAAGCTGGCAAACCAGAAAAAGGATGTCATTTTGTGGCTCCGTGGTGTGTTTAATCATGTGGAACCCAAGGGAGTAGGGTTCACTGCCGGGCATCCTAGTGAATGCAGGCCGTGCCGCACCTGCAGCGTCAGCACAACGGATCTACTTCCGGCCTGATGATCTGACGGATGCGTGGGCTTTGCTGGAATAAGAACATGCTCCTCATGGAACTCACTGACGACTGTTGACTCACATCTCCACGTAGGCGTGAGCGAGCGCCAGTGCGTTCAGCTTCTGACACTCTGAAGGATCTCCCTCTAACCCAAGCTGCAGAAATTTGGGAATCGTCTGGCCCCTGGCAAAATCGGCTGCGGTCCAGCCCCAGACATTTCCTGAGTTCCCATTTGCTCCAAAAGGAAAATGCTTAAACAGAGACCCCGAAAGGACCCATGCGATGGGTCCCTACCCCCCTCCTCCCCTCGTTCGCTCCGATAAACACTCCTCCGCACGATCCTCTTAACCACAATGTAGCCCGCAAAGCGGAACCCTAAAGCCGAGATTCTCAAATCAAGCCTGGCGCCAGCAGCAATCCTTACTAACATAGTTAGTGCTTATAAGAAGTTTATCGAGCTAGCTTAGGATCTTAGGGTTAAGTTTAGGGTCTGGGGGACTTCATGTCCAGATTTTGCTAGGAGAATTCAAGGTACATAGGCAGTAGGAAAACCAAGAATTCTGGCCTACCCTCTATCTACACAAAAGCCAAAAGGTTACCAACTCGCCTACTCAGAAACAAGGCCGCAGCGCCTTCGTACTGCGCGGTCTGCACAGCCGCCATCAGCGGTGTCATGTCGGGCATGTGGTGAAGCAAAGCCTGGACTGCTTCTGAACATGGTCAGGGGATGTTGCAAAGTGTTGCGTGGGCAGTGGGCTCTCTCTCTCTCGCTCTCGCTCTCACTCTCGCTCTCGCTCTCGCTCCCTCTCTGTCCCGTGCCATCCCCGAGGGTCTTGCCACGCAAGGGCACGAAAATTAGGTTCAGCGGCACAATGTGCAAACACCGGGACAGCAGACACTCTTTGCTGTGCTCACAAATTCGATCCGCGGAGCTGTCAAGACTGTGGTTCGGCCTGACCTGTGCTCCTGCGACTTCGCCACCGTAAGCTCGTCCAGGGGCGACGCCTGGCGGATCTTGCGCTGGTGGTTCACATCCGCCCTTAGTCCCACGAGGCGGTCGACCATTTCAGCTGTGCCTCCGCGAGACCACATTGAGGCCCAAAGAGCCTGTGAGATATCCAGTGTTTCTGGCGGGGCCTGCATCAAGAAAGCCTCCACTGCTGCAGAGGAGGCGTAGGCACTGGCAAAGTCAAACATTGGGATGTTGATCAGGTTTTCAGAAAGGGGGTTGGCCCCAGCAGCGCAAAGAAGTCGAACGCCTTCGGGATTGTTGGAGAGAGCAGCATAGGCCATAGCTGGCATTCCACCTTCCAAGTCAGCCCGCGCAGCGATGAGCAGGCGCGCTGCATCAGTGTGCTTGAAGAGCATGGTCAGATCGAGGGCGGACCTATACTCCCGTTAGAACCTTGATGAAAACAATATTATTAATATCCTCTTCGGTTTTTTGAAATATAAACAAGACTAAAAAATATTTCCCAAGGGGGATATAGGGACATCGAGGCTGGACACCCTACTTTGGGCTGGTCCCTGGAAGTTCGCAGGGTGGGATCCCCACGCCGCTGCAACAAACCCTCAATCAGTTCCGTGCGCCCACCCAAGGCAGCATAGTGCAGTGGCGACCATCCTGCCGCGTCGACGTCCCGAACGGTCCGAAAGCCATTCCTTTACTCCCCTTAGAACCTTAAAAAAGAATTATCATCGTGGGTTTTATATAAACAAAAATATAGAAAATAATTCCCAAGGGGAATATAGATTCTGGTAGAAAAACTCTGCCACCACATCGCTCCTGCCAGTCGAGCTTCGTTTGAAGCCCGGGATAAAGTCAGTCACCTGGTTGGGCTTTGGCTCCCAGAGATAGGGTTTAGGGTTTAGGGTTTAGGGTTTAGGGTTTAGGGTTTAGGGTTTAGGGTGAGATATGCCGGAGCAGTTCAGTTCAAATGTTGAGTTCTTTGCGTACTCGGAGTGTGCATTCACGCCTTCAACTCATGTAACTAACGAACAACCCGAGCATCTCTATACGCAGGCCAGGTCACAGGGTGAGCGTCCAGTCCTCGCAGGTGAACAGTCTGCAGGTTCAGGTGTAAACGATAAGCCTCAAAATCGAAGGACGCAAGGCACGCGACCAGCTTTCTCACCACCGCCTGTTGCAAAACCTGAGATCATCGGAGTTGCTTCGCTCTCATGTCAAACCCCGCGCCCGAACGCCTGCTCCTGCAAACCCCATGGAAAACGTGGCCCTATTGACGAGCCCAGGCACTGCAGCAAGCTTCCCACGATCCTTCGCCACCGTGAATTCCCCTTCGCCAGCTGACCCGCTAACGAAGGCCAGCGCTGTACCAACCAGCTCGAAGGAGACGTCGCCTTGTCTGCCAGCAGGGTTTAGGGTTTAGGGTTTAGGGTTTAGGGTTTAGGGTTTATATTTAGGGTTGGTCCCCTTTTCGACTGCTGTTGTCATCCAGAATCTAGTTACTCTAGTCACACTGTGCAAGTTCGACAAACCAGTACCCACTGACAGCCCTCACGCAGCAAGGCGGACTGTAGCAGAACACAACATCAAGAAAGCAAAGCCGCACGTGGAAATAAACCCGCAAGCTGGGGATAGCGCCCTGGTAAATCCCATATTGGCATCTGCCCAGTACCCTAGATCCTAAACCCTAAACTTCTTTTGCTCACCTCAAACTTGGTAATTGACCTGAACACCATGCACGCGGACGCTTCTTCCAAGGTTCATCAGCGGTGATTAGATAGTGCACTTGGGAGTCTATGACTCTACTTACCTACAGTTTAGTAGCAGCTACCCTTATAATTAGTAGGTATAACCCATAGACCGTAGGTAAATAGGGTCCCAGGCAGGAATTGTCGACTTTCCAAGTGTGACCCGGGTCGCTCTTGATGAGAATCCAGGTGCCATCCTGGGAAAGCTCCCGAAGTACTCGTTCAACGCGACACCAACCTTCGCTGGAGGGTTTAGGGTTTGGGGTTTAGGGTGTAGGGTTTAGGGTTTAGGGTGTAGGGTTTAGGGTGTAGGGCTTAGGGTGTAGGGTTTAGGGTTCAGGGTTTAGGGTCATGCATGAGCGATATGGGGTGTGAGGGTTCATCCCTCATAAGGGCTTCTGGCGTTTGTTCTTTATGTCTTTGGACCTTGTGCAGGTGCGACCATGATAACTTAACGTATATACCCTTAACCCTCTGTTGCAACCGGCTTCGGATGCTGCACGCCCAGCCTAAACCCTCAACCAAAAACCTGGAGCGGCTGCTTAGGCTTCCAGGAAACCTCTTTGAGACCAGCTGAATTGGCTCAGCACCCTGCCGGCACCAGGGCAGTCAATCACCTTGGCCATGATATAAGAACTGATTCAGTCATTTTGTCATTGAGGTAATGATATAGCCTGCTATAGCTGCATAGAAAGGGACTTGAAGGAACAACATGTACTCCCAACGCATCCCGCGCCGCAGGGCAGAGGCCGAGGAAGTAAGAGCATCGGGCAATGTAAGCTGGGATGCTGTCGATGGCATCGGCTAGCTGACCCCCGCCACCTTCCATTCCGTAGCCCCCCTGCTCCTAGTTCGTGGTTCCGATGGTATTACAAATTTGAACTTCTATTCCTTATTGAGTTTGAAGTACCCTTAATAAAAATGTTACCCCACTATGACAAAGGCTCCAGCTGCGGGCAAGAGAAGTAGTCGTACCATAGAAACAGAGGCCGAGCCTGGAAGTCACCAAGCGGAAGTGACTTCGCCGTGGGTACGTAGATTTCGGTCAGCGGGTCAAGCGGGACGTATTTCAGCCTAGGTCCCGGAGGCACCCATTACTTTTTTTCACTCAAAAGGGGTTTCGTGAGGGAACCTCACCCCTATGAAAAAGGAATAAGGGCCCTAAACCCTAAACCCTAAACCCTAAACCCTAAACCCTAGACCCTAAACCGCCCCACTCTGGATCCGAACAGCTGGTGCAGGAGATTCCTGAGCGCATCCTGCAAGACCCGTAGCTGCACGAGATCTGGGTCTGGGTGATGCTCGGTCAACCACCTTAAGTTGGAAGAGAGCCCGTTCCTACTAAGGTTTCGGGTTTAGGGTTTAGGGTTTAGGGTTTGGGGTTTAGGGTTTGGGGTTTAGGGTGTGAGGTTTATATTTAGGTACATGGACCCTTAGGGGTGAACATCGTTGCATAGTGCACGCATGGTTGGTAGGGCAGCCGAAACCCTAAGCTCCACTCACTTCCCTCTATGAACGAGATGCTACAGGCCTTAGGGGGCCCTGAAGGGTGCCTAAAAACTCCAAAACCGCCAAAAAAAATAGGATGAAGCCCAGCCGCTGGTGTGAAACAAAAGCTGCATGTCCCATGTCGCGGTCGAAGATCACAACGTCACCCTTGGCCTTCATTTTGTGGCTCATGGTACTTATATTGACCACTTAGAACTGCACTTGCAACCCACTGATAAGCCCCTTAAGTGCCCTAATATGGTTATAAGTACAGTTATAAGTACAGGTATAAGTGGTTACCTACCATGAACCTCCAAGTAGGGTCCATAGGGCTTAATTCTCGTTTAACAAGGTTTTGCTTTGCCACCCGCCAGGCAGACAAGCTACATTGCAGTGCTGCTGATAGGCTTTGTGATGTTGGGCAGACAGGGCACTGAAGGGAAATACGCGTCATGTACTGAGAAGGTGCCTATATCACCGCGAACCCAATAAGACGACAAATGTCTTCAAATCACCCTTCCACTCTTTTGATAAAATTGACCCTTTGCCCTGAGACTGTGGGATTTGTCGCGCTGGAACAACGTAGGCTTGAGCCACACGGAGTCTACACCTAAATCCTGAACCTCAATATGCTTAAAGGTTTCAGATTCAGACCTCAAGCCCCAAAAGCCCTATCAACTCAAATCCTACAATCCCCGCCCTCAATTCTAAGCCTTGAGATCCTCGTGCGGCTCGATCTTCGTCATCTTTAGAAGGCCGTCGGCGGGAACGGTGTACATGGGGAAAAACATGGGAACGGCCTTGGGCAAAGGGCTTCGGGTTTGTGATCTCATGAACCCAACTCTGAAACAAGAACACCAGCTAACCTCTATCTCCTGCTGCTGGAACTGGATGTCATTCATGAAACAACCATTGAGATCCATGAAGGAAAGGTTTCGAGTTTAGAGTTAGAAGCAGGCGTCTCCTCAAACTGCCACATGTGTTCCTTCCAGTTGTGCTTGCATACCCGACATGTAAGGGGGCTGAAGATATAAGAGGCGCCCTAAACCCTAAACCCGAAACCCACCCGCCCCCCCCCCCCCCCCCAAAAAAAAAAAAAAACATAAGCATTAAACAAAAAACTCCGATCTGCCTCGCCGGTGCCATCCCTGGCTCGGTGTAGCGATCTCGTGTAGAGCTCCAGAGGTGTTTGTCGGGTTCGGCCCGGAACACAGCAAGCCATTGCCGACAGGAGAAATCTTGGAGTTTAGGGTTTAGGGTTTAGGGTTTAGGTGGCAGTTCCTGAAGGGTGTTGATTGGGCCTTTGCCCACCCCAAGCATGTGACCAGGACACCCCAGTCCGACGGACTGACTGAGCCAGCAGAGGATTCCATCAACCGCGCACTGACTTGGGGGTGTAGGCCAGGTTCAGGGTTCAGAGTTCAGGGTTCAGGGTTCAGGGTTGTATCCGATGACATTTCTCGGAAGCTACCCGGGCAGTGGCGGAACTCCAGGCACTAAACTAGGCCCTCGGCCCCTCTGTCTGGCTTCAGAGCTTTCACCTGCCTAGGGGATAGGATTAGGGGGACCCTTGGGGATATAGACCCTCTGACTAAGGTGCCTGTTTAAGAGAGCCAGAAGAGGGTTAAGAAGGGGTTCCCCTTTAAGGGTCCCCTTATCCTACCTAGGAGCACTGCAGCTCCACAAGTCTACAGGTATTGAGGCCCCCGTGTTCAAGCAAGAAGTCGATGAAAGACGATCTGCACCCTAAACCCTAAACCCTATACCCTATACCCTAAACCCTAAGCCCCTTTTTTTTGCATCCGGACTCCTCAACCCTAAACCCTAAACCCAACCAGAGTTTGAGAGCCCAGATGATCCGGATTCTAGGTCAAAGTGGCGACTTCAAGGAGGTCGAGGAGGGCATGTCAGTGGAGTATGGCAGTGTTATGCAGTGTCGGGAACATTGGGAGAAAGCATTCTTCACCTTGGCTCTTCAGACAAGCCTCAGATCAACACAAGCGGGCCGCACAAATCACCACCATGATGGTCACCTGGCGGAGTCACAAGCTTTTGGAGTGTCACAGCACAGCGAAAGCGGGCGCTTGCGCTCAGGTGCCCAACAGAATGGCCAAGAGGATCCCCTTACAATCGCAATGGAACTTCAATGGAACCACCCAGAAGTTGCCGAAAACACCCCATTCCAAGTAAACCCCCAGGCAGTAAGAGGGGTGGGAGGGGGGAGAGGAGGGGAGAGGCGGAGATGGGGGGAGGGGGGAAGATGGGGAAAGAGGGGGGGGGGGCTCCCCAGAAACGGATAAGAGCACTATTGGAAATGATCGGGTACCCTATATTGCGAAGTGCCCATCAAAAACCTTCGCACAACCCAGAACAGAGAGACGAAGCGGGCTTCTTTCGCGTGCAATGCGCGCCCGTCCTTTTTGGTCCTTTTTGTCACGCTTTTGGCAATGCAAAGGCGTGCACGGCGCCGCAGAGCAGGTCCAAGACCTGGGCACAGACTCAGGTTGCCAAGGGTTACTAAGGGGGCTGGGCTCAGGACTGCTTGGCCCTTGCAGGTTCCGTTCTTGGTTCATAGATAGGGATTGGGAATAAGAATTCATTACCATAAAAAATCCTTTCTATGTAGGTCCCGATTAATTTCCCTGAGGGTTTATGGGGTTGGGGGCCTTCAGGGTTGCTTGAGTCCTCAAAACACCGAGGGCGGTCCGATGTTGAGGAGCCAAACCGTAAACCCTAAACCCTAAACCCTAAGCGATTGCAGAGGGGTGCCTAACCGAACCCCCTCAAAACCCACATGGATCCTTGGATGCCCATATAATGTACACCTGCCTGCACGTCACCCGCCCGGTCGCTGCGGTAGTAGAAGTTTCCATCGCCGCAGGGGCCATGCACCATGACCTCCTCTTGGAGGTTCATGGTGCTTATTGGTTTAGGGTTTAGGGTTTAGTTTAGGGTTTAGGGTTTAGGGTTTAGGGTTTAGGGTTTAGGGTTTAGGGTTTAGGGTTTAGGGTTTAGGGTTTAGGGTTATTCACCACGAATAAAGTATAAACTGCACTTATCACCCACTTATAAGCCCCTTAAGTGCCCTAACATGGTTGTAAGTGCACTTGTAAGTACAGTTATAAATGGTTAAGAAGCACCATCTGACCTCGAGAACTTCAAAACTGTTGGGGGTTGCCGGTCATTTCGGAATTTACGAAACTAAGGGGCCCCGAAGATAACGCAAGTAGTAAATGGCAGGATCCCCTTAGAATACGGACCCCAAAAAGGGTACCCCGAATTTCGGAAACATGCGATCGCATGCCGTTGTACTGCCGCACTCCCAGTCAAAAACGGACAGAAAGACAACAATCAGAAACACGCACGCACCGCACCGTGACCATACCCCCAACGCAGCTGAATCTCAAAGAAAGCCCGTCCTTGGGTGGATCTGGTGTCGCTGGCAACAATTCGAGGGTGTCGCAAGCCCAGCGGTGGAGCTTGCCGTTTGGCACGGCAAGGAAGATGACAGAAGCGTCGGCTGCGAACCCAATGCTCGTGAAGTAGTGGGGCCTTAGCCAACTTTGACTGCACTGCATTGTAAGGCGCGCAAGTTGCAGAGACCTTCTGTACATAAAGCAGAACGCCTGAAGACACAATTTGTCACTATGTAGCAACACGGTTTACAAGCGAGCGAGGTACGCGAAAGCATACTACTAAACAGCACTTCAATTATGCACAACGAGTTAACAAGGCACGAAAGCAAACCTTGTGGGGAACGAAAGCTCACGGAGCACGACATATCAAAGGGCGCCCCTCCCGACGCAGCCTCCCTGCGACTTCTCAGCCCTCGACATACGTAAAAGACAAGTAGCAGTCCACAACGAACGGAAAGCTCACAACCACAAACATTCCATGCGTCAATAGTACCTCAACCCTCAGAGGGCCTAAGAACCCCCCAGAAAAATGCACAAGATAATCATCCCTATATTACCCTTCTGAGGAAGAGTATCTTTTCTTTGGGGCGTTCCTAAACACAGAGGGCCGGAGCTTCCGTGCGAAGGGCTTGGGGCCTACAGCCCTAAAAGACCAAAACCCTAAAAACCCGAACAACCCCAAAAACCCCAAAAACCCCAAAAAAACCTAAACCCTAAGGAAATCACGTGAACTTTCTACAGAAACGCCCTCTGAGGCTGAGCAGCTGGTCAGTCCGAAGCGTGCGCCGTTTTAGCCGTAAAACTGTAGGTAAAGAGGGTTTCGGGTTTGAGCTCTTTTTCCAACTGTTTGCAAAGCTGGGGGTTTAGGGGATGGAAGGGTTTCGTTCCAAAGTGTTCGTCTCTCGCACTTTTTCCTCATGGCCACTTTAAATTTCTGATTATACTTTTCTACTACTTCTCATCTCTCTTAACCCACTATTCAAATTATTACGGCCCCTACATGAGGCTGCCGCTGCCTCTCAGGCTGGCTTACGGAATCTTGTTGTGGAAACCCAATGCCTTTTTGTGGCGCACTGTGCGGAAGCTCAGGCCTTTTTTGCGCGGAAACGTGTGGAAATCCGGACACTCTTTGCAGAAATTGAAGCCCCTTTTCTTGGTAGAAACTTGTTGAGAAGACTCAGCTTGGAGGCACAGGCCTTGGTTTCACGGATTTGTTGCGGAAACCCGTGCCTTCTTTTTGCGGAAACTCGGGGGCACTCTTTTTGCCGACGCTGTTGTGGAAACTCTGGTTTTTGGCATCAGAAGACAGTCGCGCTCTATGGTCTTAAACATATTTCAGCTGGAGTTTCCACGAATGTTTCCGCCAAAAAGGCCTTGGGTTTGTGCAAAAGCTTCCGCAAAGGGGCCCGAGTTTCCATAATTATGCTTTTAGGGTTTAGGGTTTAGGGTTTAGGGATTCTCTCCTGCACGTGCCGCCATTGGGCATGGCACGTTTTGGAAACGGAGTGGGTCAGGATGGGTCTGGTTGGGTGGCGCGGCATCAGTCCCAGGGCCAAGGGGTCTGCACAAGGGTCCAGCGCTTGGCGAGAGGCCCATGAAGCTCATCGGGATGAAACTGTTGGGGCTCTATGGGGGTTTGGGGACCCAAACCGATCGTCCCTATGGCCAAAAGGCCTCCCACCCCTGAGACACCCAGCCGATTGGATGCCAGCTCGGCTAGGGGGTTGGCCAAAAACGGGGCGAGAAACTGTCCGATAGCCCTCCCAGCAGGATTGTGTGTCTGTGGTGAATTCGCGTGTTCCTGGGACACTATCAGAATTCCTACATGCGTTTGTCACTGCCATGAGAATCACTTCATCGTGTTGTTGCGTCTGAACCTTGGGATTGGTTTTGGAGGTTGCTGGCATATTGTCGTTCTTGTCTCGTGATTGTTCGACAAAATGCAGCAGAAGTCCTGAATGTTAGTCGTGTTGGTTGCAACTGGGGAGTGTTGGGCGCACGCGTGTTGAGAACAGGGGGGGGTGCGTGTTGAGAACGGGGCAGGCGTGAGTCGGGAACGCAGGGGGGGTGAGTCGGGAACAGGGCTCATGTGTACAGCACGCCCCGGTTGAGTTGGGAACGGCTGCCCCCCAACACGCCGAATTGGTGTGCGGGTTCATGACACGTCGGATGTGTTCGCCTCATAAAGTCTCCCATTTGGAAGCTGAAAAGAAGACTGTAGACCCAACTCCAAGTCGTCGAAAGAGGACTTAAAACAAACCTGCAGAGTAGGGTCATCACTCCGAACCCAATTCTGGGGGGCAGCCTTTCCCAACTCAACCCCCGGGCGTGCTGTACACATGGGCCCTGTTCCCGACTCACCCCCCCTGCGTTCCTGACTCACGCCTGCCCAGTTCCCAACACGCCCCCCCCCCCCCCCCCCCGTTCCCAACACACCCTCGGCCCGCTCCCGACACTTGTAACCGACTCAACCTTCATCCCAGAAGTCCTGCGATTTGAGTAATCAGAGCAATTGCCAAACGATGCTGCGGACCTCAAATGGCCTTTATGAAGGGCTCCTTTCCCGCTCGGACATGCCCTCCATGACGTGCCACTCGGCTGTTTTTCGAAAGCATCACTGGCACTCACTGAAGGACCATCCGCCCATCCCGCCGCCTTGCTGTGCCAAGCGGTCGAGACTTCGGCACATGATTGCTTCTCAAGATGCCCATCATGGCATCCACCGGCCGAGGCGGGCCACCCAAAACCTACTTTTTTGTAGGTTACCTCAGAATCCCAGGGTTTGATAATACTATCCCACAAAAAAGTAGGTTTTGGGTTCTTAAGGTAGTCGTATAGCTATACCGCGGGCTCGGACGGGATATCGATGAAAAAACAACTGTAACTGGCGTTTTGCAAAGCGAACGTGTCGCAGAGTCATCACCCTAAACCCTAAACCCTTTAAACCCTAAACCCGTCTCAAGTGAGCCAAGCCACGCTGCGAAGGGCAACTTCGTCGTGCGCGTGAGCCCATCGCACAGCCGAATGACCGCTATGCTCATGTCCTCGGGGTACCTGCAGGTTTAGGGTTTAGGGTTTAGGGTTTAGGGTTTGGGTTTAGGGTTGAGGGTTTAGGGCTTAGGAGTCAGGAAGAAAACCTCGAACAAGAAGCAACTAGACATCACCAGGCTCTTCTGTTTGCAAGCGGCCAAAGGCTGACTGGTGAACAATTCACTGTAAGACTGCGTGGGCCACGTAAAGCTTGAGTTTAGGGTTTAGGGTTTAGGGCTTAGGGTTTAGGGCCCAGATGCGACACTACAATCTCTGTTTCGTCGGGAGAGAAGGCAGCGCGATCCACGTAGGAGTCGCAGAAGCTTTGGTCGCTACCCTCGTGTCCGACTTCCAGAACAACCATTGGCTCTTTGTAGTACCTCGCAGTGTCTGAAAATGGCGACATGAGCTTCGTTCTCGAGTTTGGGGTTGGGCTTGAGCTTTGTGTCATTTATCTAGAACATGAACGGCCATACGATAGGCAATGAAGTCAACAGTGGAAGGATAATCAAGTATTGCTCTCTCAGCCGTTCTTTTGTCCAAGGCGGGCCATTTCGCGATCCATTTCCCCGACAGCGACAGCAAAAAGGAAGCGGTGGACAATCCATCCTCCTTGCGGTTTAGGGTTTAGGGTTTCGGGCAGCAGCGCAGAGCCCCGACACACCCTGTGGTGCCTCAACGCACTGCATCTCCGAAAGAAAATAGGGGTACCCGTTTTATACATAAAAATAGAATGGAACCCCCTTAAAGGGATCCCCCGAAATAGGGCACCCCGAATTTTTGGAAACCCCCCATGTCTTTTTTTATTTGTTCTCGCCCTCTTCTTGGTTTCATCGCCCCGCTCCTTCCCGCAAGCTTGCTTGCGAGTGCCGGAGTGATAGTCCCAAAGCTCCAGGGTTCTTGACATGATGCCTCCATCGGAGATCCTCGGATTGGCTGCTTTTGGCTTGGGACTAAACTTCTAAACCCTAAACCCTAAACCCTATAAACCCTAAACCCTAAACCCTATATAAACCCTAAACGCGTTTAGAGCTCCTGTTTTTAGCGATGTAAGATCTCAGGGATGAAACTAAGCGCTTACGATATTAGGGGTACTCTTATTGGGGTCCTTCTTATAAGACAAGTCCAATTTTGAGGACTAGATTAGGGGTCCCTTATTTTCGTAAACGCCCAAATCAGCATTCACCCATGAGATCCTATAAGCGTCAACGCCAGTCCCGGCTGTAGGGAGCAAACGCTCCCCGTCCACTCGGTGCCATCACTGCGGAGATGCACCTATACTCCCCTTAGAACCTTCATACCAATATTTTTTTCTTAATATACTCTTGGGGGGGTTTATATAAAAAAATGAAAAATAAATCCCAAGGGGATATAGGCGCTTCCCCCGTCAGCGTGCGCCACATGAGTAACTTTCCCATCGACTCGGCCATGACAAAGTCGCCCTCTGGCGAAAAGCGAGCAAAGACGCTCTCTTCCATCCTGAACTCCCTAAACCGTAAACCCTAAACCCTAAACCCTGAACCTCGCGAAAGCCAGGAACCGAGACAAGAGATGCTAGTCTCAAATATGAGAAGCGAGAGCAACAACAACAACAACAACAACAACAACAACAACAACAACAACAACAACAACAACAACAACAACAACAACAACAACAACAACAACAACAACAACAACAAAAACACACAACCCATCAAAAGATTTGTGTCATGTCGAAACCTACCTAAAGAACATCAAGCGGGCGTCCAGCGTACCGGCAAAGGGTAGCGGATAACCTCCGAGCCAGGAATGCCTCGAACCAGCTGGAGAAAGTAGAGCTGCGCATCTATTTGGCATTGCTTAAGCAGCGTGTAGAGCTCTCCATCGCCAAGGCGCATGGCCTGAGTTTGGCAATCTGATTCAGAGGCCATGATTACGTACGAGCATGTGCCGGTGACAAAACAGGTTTCGGTGATAATGAATGATTAGGCTTTCTTGTGCTCTTTGAAGGTGGAACAGCATGCGCATGACAGCATGCGACCAAACACCCAATTGCCCCGGCGTGGCATCAGTTGCGCCGCCAGTCATAGAGGCGGGCCACAGGACGGTTTGTGAATCAGCATCCCAAACCTAGTTCATGGTTGGGATAGTATTAAAAAATTGAATTTCTGTTCCTTTCTGAATTTAAGTACCATTCAAACATGTAAAATGCTACCCACAACTATGACAAAGAAACCGCCGGTGGGCCATGGCTGTGCGAGGCCAAAGTGCAGCTCGAACCCACCAGAAGCAGGACTTCTGGAGGATCGTCGGCAGAAAGCAACTCTGACACCGGAGTCTGTGGCTCCTGTAGCAACTGAATGCGAAGGCTTATGCAAACTGGAAAATATAGCCTGGGGCCCCCTTCCCCCCCCCTATACCCCCCCTATACCCCCCATACCCCCCCTAGACCCCCCCTATACCCCCTACCCCCTACCCTAAAGATGCCCTGCGAAGTGCCTCGGAGATCCGGGTACCAAAGACGAGCTTTTGGCGGCCCACCGCCACCTGACTGCTGGGGCCCTGATTTTACAGTGGTGGCGAAGGCTGGCGATGGAACATGTGATGTTGCCCCAAACCCTCCCAAGCCGCACCTTGGTACGTGTAGCGATGGCAGCCTTCATATCTGTGAGTGTCGCCGTAACACCGACCTTCACATTGAAAGCCGCGCCGCTGGGCTGGCGCACGGCGACTTCCATGGCTCCAGCTACGAGCGGTTGAAGGCTGTTGAAGTGCAAAGTTCGATGCTTAATGTATGCTAACCCTAAACCCTAAACCCTTTTGCCACTGGACTGAAAGGCTAGCCAGAATCCAGGAATCCATGGGTGCAAACCCCGGAAAGCACCAGCAAACCCTGAACCCTATACCCTCAACCCTAAACCATTCCTGTCTTCCCAACTCCTGGTGCCCTTGACGTTTGCTGTCACCTGCCTCAGTCAGCTCATGTTTCAAGCCTTCCCCTCAGGGTCCATGTACCTGTATAGTATATACTTGGGCCCTAAACCCTAAACGTCCTAAAGCTATATGGGAACCCCTTTAAGGCCCAAGTATATACCACATAGGGCATGTAAGATGTAGTATGCTTCGGGTCTGGGACTCATGGTTGTTTACCATCGTAAGACACGGCCCCGGTATCCGAAAGTCCCAGCACCCCCCCCCCCCCCCCCCCCCCCCCCGGCCGCATCACCCCAGCTCCTGCAAACTCTGCCACCTACAGCCCGAGACTTCAACCACTTCACAATCTTTACAAAACCTCCAACCTAGACAAACCTAAACACTCTAGCTCAACAATAAAACCTTCTATGAACCTCGGGATGTTCCCCCTTATACTAACAGTCCTTAGTCGGGATTATAGTAGGGGGGGGGGTACTAGCATCCTTATGAAGGACAGTATAAGGGAGAACATCCCAACCCTAAACCCTAAACCCTAAACCCTAAACCCTAAACCCTAAACCCTAAACCCTAAACCCTAAACCCCAAAACCAGCAGCTACCTTCGGGCCTCCGACTGCAGCGTCTGGCATCGGCAAAGCTGCTTTGCCAGGCTGCTCGGTTTAGGGTTTAGGGTTTAGGGTTTAGGGTTTAGGGTTTAGGGTTTAGGGTTTGGGGTTTCAGGGTCTACCGTCGGTTTTGGGGTCTACCGTCGGTTTTGGGAACTCCGAGTTCCGATTGCGTAAGGGTGTAGGGTTTAGGGTTTAGGGTTTAGGGTCTAGGCCCGCAAAAAATGGCGTCGGAAGGAGACATGGGCTTGAGCAGATGCCTCGAGTGCGGCGTAGTGAAGGTGTTCTGCAGACATCCTTATGAGGATGCTTATCCCTAAGTAAGGCTCCAAATAGGCCAAAGTAGGTACTATTTATAGACTTTTGGCCCCAATGTAGGTATTGTTTGTATACTTGGAGCCCTAGGGTATGATCATGCTGCAAGCGGCTCTGTGTTCTATTCTGTCAGCAAGCCACTTCTTGTGCAAGCAACCTTGTTTCGTCGCCGCTAGACGCCGGATTCCGTGTCTGGCTAACCAGCCTGCCATAAGGCTCCAATATGTTTCTTTTGGGCTTCTCATGAAGTAAACCAGTGTACCACCAAAAAAAGAGTTAACCTTTGAGCCTGTGGCTAGCTGCTGATTGCTGCTTCCCGCTCAGACATGTCACTTCCCCAGCTTTGCATTCAGGTACTCCATGCTGGCCCACATTTCATCTTCTGTCAACAGGCGATTCCAAACAATGATCTCCATGACGCCAAAGTCGGAGAACTCGCCATGGCCCTCGTTGACAAGCAAATGGAAGTCTCCGCGGTGGACGCCGTGCCGCGTTGCGATGTTCCTTCTTTCTTGGCCCTTGAAAATAACTCCCCCACGGCTGCCACACATCCTTGGTTGCCCAGTACCACTATCATTATGATAAGGGTGCCCTTGTTGGTGTTGGTTGCGATGTGGTGGAATAGCGCGGAGGCCAAAACGGGCAACAACAAAAAACACAGGGCTAATTACCAAGCATCACGAGCCAGTCGGTGGAACCTGGTCCTTCGTGCGAGGTGACCCATGTATCGTAATAAGCCACCCCAGCACGGCCATGCCAGTGGCCATGTAGCCAATTGAAGGAGTTGGTTTGGAGAATGCGACGCTTTGAGCCGCCCAGATATCGTGTGACCGAGCAGATGGAATAGTCCGAGGGCATGATCTTGCCAAAGTCGTAGCCCGCGTCAATGTTCCCGCTGATGTATGTCACCGGAACACCGGCACCGTTTCCAGCTTCAACCTTCGTGGAAACACTACCCTTGGTCACACGGCCCTGCCAGTTGCCCACGACACTTTTCCAGTCTGGACTTGCATCCTCACTCTTGAACCAGGCCACCAGGGCCGACTTGGCCGCAGGCTGAGGCGGCTCCTTACTCGAAAGAGGATTTACGGATCTTAGGGTTTAGGGTTGAGAGTTTAGTGACGTGCCACATGGCTAGGCCTCAAGCTCAAAACTCGGGCCTCAACACGAGGCAGACACAACTAAATCCAACTTGAAGAAAAGAGCTATCAGAACCTGCCAAGACCAGGCAAGGAAGGGTGGCTCTTTAGTCTAATCTCATAGACCTCTTCTTACGGTTGCAGCAAGATGCTGCTCGGATTTTCCAATTCAGGTACTCCATGCTGGCCCACATTTCATCTTCGGTCAACGCGCGATTCCAAACAATGACCTCCATGATGCCAAAGTCGGAGAGCTCGCCACCCATGTTGACATTCAGTTCGAAGCCTGCGTGGTGAGCGCCTTGCCGTGTTCCGATGTTCTGTCTATTAAGGCCCCTGAAAGCAACTCCCGCACGGCTGCCACACATCCTTGGTAGCCCAGTATACCACTATCATTGTGATAAGGGTACCCCTTTTTGGTGTTGGTTACGGAGAGGTGGAACAGCGCGGAGGCCAAAACGGGCAAAACAAAAAACACTGGGCTACCAAGCGTCACGAGCCAGTCGTTGGTCCTTGGTCCGGTGCTCGGGGTGATCCATGTTCCGTAATGAGCCACCCCAGCATGACCTGCCCAGTGGCCATGTAGCCAGTTCCAGTGGCTGCTTTGGAGTATACGACCCTTTTGGCCGCCCAGATATCGTGTGACCGAGCAGATGGAATAGTCCGGACCCATGATCCCGCCAAAGACGAATGCCGTGCGAGTGTTCCCGCTGATGTATGTCACAGGACGACCGGCACCGTTTCCGGATTCAACCTTCCTGGAAACACCACCCCAGGCCACGCGGCCTTCCCACTTGCCCACGACACTTTTCCAGTGTGGATTTGCATCCTCACTCTTGAACCAGGCCACCATGGCCGGTTTGGCCGCAGGCTGAGGCAATGCCTGACTGGAAAGAGGATCTACGGATCCACCAAAAAAAGGTTTAGTGACGTGCCACATGGCTATACTTCTGGGGCCTCAAACTCAAAACTCGGCCCTCAACACAAGGCAGACACAACTAAATCCAACTTGAGGAAAAGAGCTAAAGAAACTGCCAAGACCAGGCAAAGAAGGGTGGCTCTTCAGTCTATACTCTCATAGACCTCTTACGGTGGCAAGATTATTCGGCAGACGTAGGGATGCAGCAAGATGCTGGCGCTTGGATTTTCCAATTCAGGTACTCCATGCTGGCCCACATTTCATCTTTTGTCAACGGGCGATTCCAAACAATGATCTCCATGACGCCAAAGTCGGAGAACTCGTGATGGCCCTCGTTGATAAGCAGATGGAAGTCTGCGTGGACAGCGCCTTGCCGCGTTGCGATGTTCCGTTTCTCTTGGCCCTGGAAAACAACCCCCGCACGGCTGCCACACATCCTTGGTAGCCCAGTACCATTATCATCATGACAAGGGTACCCTGTTTGGTGTTGGTTACGTTATGGCAAAATGGGCAAAATACGGTACCACGGGCTACCAAGCCTCACGAGCCAGTCGGTGGAACCTGGTCCTTCGTGCGAGGTGACCCATGTTCCGTAATGAGCCACCCCAGCACGGCCGTGCCAGTGGCCATGTAGCCAGTTGTGGGAGTTGGTTTGGAGAATGCGACGCTTTGAACGGCCCAGATATCGTGTGACCGAGCAGATGGAATAGTCCGAGGGCATGATCCTGCCAAAGTCGTAGCCCGTGCCAGTGTTCCCGCTGATGTATGTCACCGGAACACCGGCACCGTTTCCAGATTCAACTTTTCTGGAAACACTACCCTTGGTTACACGGCCCTGCCACTTGCCCACCGCACTTTTCCAGTCTGGACTTGCATCCTCACTCTTGAACCAGGCCACCATGGCCGACTTGGCCGCAGGCTCACGTGTTGCCTGGCTCGAAAGAGGATCTACGGACCCCAAAGACAAGGCTCAGTGACATGCACACGCCAACATGTTGCTGAGTCTTCGCGGCTTGCCAGAAACTTAGTATATTTCGGCCTCGTCTGCTTATATACGTATTACAGCGTTTCAGGCACTCACCCGATCCCAATAACCCACTGCAGAAGCTGAGATTCTGGAAAAAGGTGTGGGTACATGGGGGGGGGTACCATATATATATATATGTATATATATATATATATATCTATATATATATATATATATCTATATATGTATACAACTTGCGGAAAAGAGCAAAGAACCTGCCAAGACCAGGCAGGGAATGGTGGCTCTTTCAGTCTAAAGTCATAGACCTCTTGCGGTTGCAAAGTTATTCAGCACTTGGAGGTTATGGTACTTATTAACCAATTATAACTGTACTTCTAACCCACTTATAAGCCCCCTAAGTGCCCTAATATGGGTACAAGTACAGTTGTAAGTACAGTTATAATTGGTCGATAAGCACCCTGAACCTCCAAGCAGACGTAGGGATGCAAGCTTCTGGCGCCTGAATTTTCCAATTCAGGTACTCCATGCTGGCCCACATTTCATCTTCGGTCAACGCGCGATTCCAAACAATGACCTCCATGACGCCAAAGTCGGAGAGCTCGTGAACGCCCTCGTTGACAAACAGATGGAAATCTGCGTGGACAGCGCCTTGCCGCGTTGCGATGTTCTGTCTTGCTTGGCCTTTGAAAACAACTCCCGCACGGCTGCCACACATCCTTGGTAGCCCAGTACCATTATCATTGATTATGATAAGGGCGGTACGGGTGCCCTGTTTGGTGTTGGTTATGCGTTTATGGCGGAACAGCGCGGGGCCCAAAATGGGCAAAAAGGGTACCGCTGGGCTACCAAGCATCACGAGCCAGTCGGTGGAATCTGGTCCTTCGTGTGGGGTGACCCATGTATCGTAATGAGCCACCCCAGCACGGCCGTGCCAGTGGCCATGGAGCCAGTTGTGGGAGTTGGTTTGGAGAATGCGACCCTTTGAGCCGCCCAGATATCGTGTGACCGAGCAGATGGAATAGTCCGAGGTCATGATCTTGCCGAAGTCGTAGCCCGCGCCAGTGTCCCCGCTGATGTAGGTCACAGGACGACCGGCACCGTTTCCGGATTCAATTTTTCTGGAAACACTACCCTTGGTCACACGGCCCTGCCACTTGCCCACCGCACTTTTCCAGTCTGGACCTGCATCCTCACTCTTGAACCAGGCCATCATGGCCGACTTGGCCGCAGGCTGAGGCATTGCCTGACTCGAAGGGCGGTCTGTGGCCACAAATATAAGAAGTTCAGTGGCATAGACCTTTCCAAAGGTACCTACAGCGATTTAATTTGACGAACGGCAGCCTGGCCTGGGCATGCTTTAGCGCGAACTTGGGCACCGTGATCTTGGAGTTGCCGGTGTCCGGGCCCTGATAGCGCATCTTGAAGATTTCGTGGCCACCCATCTCGCACATGTCCACCACCAGGTTGTGCAGACCTGCCGGAAGGAACTTCTCGTGGCTGGGCTTCTCGGTTTCTCCATGGCAGCCGTTGTTGTCGACGACCTTCTCCCCATCCAAGTACAAGATGGAGCCTCTGAACAAAAGACTCATCTAATCTTGTTTGAGTGTCTCAGAAAAGAAAGGGATCCATGATCATCATGCTCCTCTAACCCCGTCTGAGCCCGGCAACCATCGTCTGAGGCGAGGTAGAATTTGTACTTGCCCGAGTTCTTGGTGACCAAATGGCCAGTGCACCTGCAGATTTCTTGCTAGGTTTTCTGTCAATCCATTGCCACGGTGCACTCAACCCATGTCCTCCGCGCCTCAAGCAGAAATTGTCACCTTGGCGCACGTTGGGAAACCGCCCGTGCTCCTGACAAGACATGGAGCACAGGATGCGAGGGCGACAGCTCATCATTTTCAGGGCCTTATAGCCTACAGGTTCAACGCCAATCGACCTCACAGGAGGAAACCCCAGTCCACGTAGATCTCCGGCAGAATTTCAGTGTGGGCTGGGGTCCTTGGGGTTGCAGTGGGCCCAACAGAAGTAGAGGCATCCGAAGATTTCAATCAGCTGAGCAGTCTCATGGAGGCCAACCCTAAACCCTAAACCCTGAAACCCTGAAACCCTAAACCCTAAACCCTCACTGTTGCCGGGCAGCATGGCAGCGAGGTCAGGGATCTGGCACTGTGCCTGGTTGTAGAAGTAGTCGCACGTCAGGCCATCCGCCAAGTGCTGGCATGAGGTGGGGAGTGCATTACGGCATGGAAATCATAAGCACCCATTCTGTTCCTGAGGATGAACATATACAGATTCCATAAGAGCACAGCTTTGGCGTTAGTCTACCAGCCCTCCGGCCTTGATGCTGTGCTTCAGCGCAGATGTGGGCACCGTGATCTTGGAGTTGCTGGTGTCCGGCCCCTCATAGCGCATCTTGAGCACTTCGCCGCCATCCTTTCCGCACATGTCCACCACCAGGTGGTGCAGACCCACCGGAAGGAACTTCCGGTGGCTGGGCTTCTCGGTTTCTCCATGACAGCCATCGTTGTCGACGAGCTTATCCCCATTCAGGTACATGAGAGAGCCTTTCAACACAGAACTCTCCTCAAGTCTTCTTATGCCATGCATGCCACCCTTTGTAAGCCCGAAACCGTCGTCCGAGCTGAGGAAGAACGTGTAGTCGCCCGAGTTCTTTGTGGCCAAAAGGCCTTCGCACCTCTAGCTCGTAAACCGCAAATGGCCAGAATGTTGCGGGCATATACATCAGACTGTGGGCTGCAAGCTAGGATTTAGGGTTTAGGGTAGAGGAAGGAGGCTGCGCCCTTGGTAGCCCCCACACATTGCAGAATCTGCGGACATTGAAATGACCCTTCCGCATATCGGTGCGGGCATTTCCCAAAATAGGGGTACCCCTTTTTACTTTAATTAAGGGCACCCCGCCTAAAAGGGTACCTCCGGCTTTCGGAAACCCCAATGTTCAAGATTGTTGAAGAAATCCCTGGCCTGACGCAGAAATTTTCGCCTTGCCGCACATTTGGAAATCGCCCATGCTCCTGACCGGCAATGGCGAAAGGCTGGAAAGTTAGTCTGCAGCGAGGAAGGAGGGGAAGGAGGGAAAGAAGGAAGGAAGGAAGGGAGGAAGGACAGAAGGACCATTTTATGATACTCTTCGATTGCTATTTTCATATTGTGACTTATACTGTTATACCGTGATATATTTGATTGTGAGAGCAATATAATATCGTAACGCTATATGAATATACGATTATAGTATTGTTTTCTGATCTTTTTCTATTGGCGCATTAGTACATGTTTCAGCCGTGCAAGCTTGCTTCAAACGCGTATGAGTCTTTTTGACATTTGTTCGAACTCTTTGTTAGGAAATCCTCTCTTTTAAAAAGACAACCTCTATAGTTTCTCGAAATCTTACTAGGAAACTTCTACTCGCTCTATATTTTCGTAGGAAATTTTATAAGGAACACCTCTATTTTCTCTATATTTTATTAGGAAAGCCTCTGGGTTCTCTGCACTCTCAGAGGAACACCAGAAACCTCTGCTTTAATGGGACAACCTCTGTTTTCCGTTCTCTACTTTTGATCCGGAAACTCTATTCCCCTATACATGTACAGAGGGACAGAAGGCAAAAACGACAGAAAGAAACAAACCATGCTGGCATGATGGGTTTGGAAAGTTAGATTCTTCGAAAGGAGTCATGTGTGCAAAAAATGCAAGTCTAAGTCCTTCTCATGGGCAGTAAGAGTGTGTTTTGTTGGGGCGGCCTTTTTTGGAGGCCTGGCGTGGCATCTTTTCTGTTGTGGAGGTCGGACACGCTTTTACTGGCGGGCCGGGGGCAAGGGCGTTTTCTTTTGCGGAGGCCTGAAGGCTTTCTTACAGAGGGCTTCGTAAAAACTTTTTTGAAAAAAGCTGAGAGTTTTTCTACGAAAATCAAGAGAAAATAGAAGTTTTCCTATTAACATACTGAGAATTGGCTCCCGGGACAAGAGCCAAACCCTAAAAATCCCACCCACGAAAAAATCAAAAACACGTCTCCCTGGCGAAACATTCGAGGTTGCGCGGGGCGGCTATACCTAGAAGCTTCGCAGCAAAGGCTCAGAAGACGGACAGCCTTGCTAAACCCTAAACCCGAAAGCCTAATGAAAAGTGAGAACCAGCTGAGAACAGAAGCAACGGCCATTCATAGCTATCAGGCCCGGTCCATGTAGATCTTTGGAACGATCGCGCTGTGGCCAGGACTCCTTCCATAGGGTTTAGGGTCTAGGGACCCTACTATGGGGGTTTGCGAATTCGGGATTCGGGTACCTGATTGGGGCCCTTATTATAAGGGGATCTTACCATTTGGGAATCCAGATCAGGGGCCCATTCTTGTCGCAAACCCCCTTCTTGGTAGCCCCAGTAACCATAATAAGGGCAACCCTTTTCGGGTTATTTTATAAGGGAAACCATAAGCAGCAAAAAGGGTAAAGGGCACCTCTGGGCTACCCAGCCTTGTAAAGGCTTCGCAGGGATGATGCTAGGAGGTCGGACTAGGGGTTTAGGGTTTAGGGTTTAGGGTTTAGGGTTTAGGGTTTAGGGTTTAGGGTTTGGACCCTTGGGGATGTAGACCCTCTCAGTAAGGTCCCTCCTTAATCGCGTCAGAAGAGGGTTGAGAAGGGGTCCCCTTTGAAGGGTCCCCCCAATCCCACCTAGGATGATGCCTTTTTTTGCCACTCGCTTGGCTGACTGTTGAATCGCGGTGCAGAAACGGGGGCTTTTGGGTTTCAGGGTCTAGGGTTCAGGGCCTGAGGGCCTTATGGGTTTAGGGTATAAGGGGTTTGTTGTTTAGGGCTCAGGGCAATTATTGAACTGCCGAGTGTCAAGGTAGTCAGGTCGGGAACCTGGCATTGGGACTGGTCGTAGAAGTAGTCGCACGCCAGGCCATCCGACAAGGGCGGCTGCCACACAGCCGGGGGCACATGATGGATGCACATCAGATTGCAACGTGCTGGCGCAACATCCGGGCCTTCGTGTCGTGCTTCAGAGCAGACATGGGAACTGTGATCTTGGAGTTGTCAGTGTCCGGGCCCTGGTAGCGCATCTTGAGCACTTCGTGGCCATCCACCTCACACATGTCCACCACCAGGCTATGGACACCTGCCACAAGGAACTTCTCGTGGCTGTGCTTCTCAGTTTCGCCATGGCAGCCGTTGTTGTCGACGAGCTTCTCCCCGTTCAAGTGCAGCAGAGAGCCTGTCAACACTTTCGGCTGCCTACACAACGCATGAAGCGCATCCTTGTCCAGCTCAGGCACCATCGTCTGAGGCGAGGTAGAACTTGTAGTTTCCCGAGCTTTCGGTGACCAGGTAGCCGCTGCACCTGTATTTTCTTGCCAGGTTTTTTGCCACCTGTAATGCACAGCGGATGCAGCCCTCTCCTTGCCTCAGGCAGAAATTGTCGCCTTGGCGCACATTGGGGAACTGCCCGTGCTCCTGACATCTATAGGCTATAGGAGCACAGGCTGCGAAAGCAATTGTGTTCGTGTGGATCCCGGTCCATGTAGATCTCCGGCACGATGGCGCTGTGGGCTGGGGTCCTTACGGTTGCAATTGTCAGCGGAGTTCGGGTTCGAGGCATCGGAACATGCAATCGAGCCCCCTTAAGGCGAAGGCAGGGCGGTGAGGTCTGGGACATGGCACTGAGCCTGGTTGTAGAAGTAGTCGCACTCCAGGCCGTCCGACAAGCGCTGTCGTGGGGCGGGAGTTCTTCACAGTCTAGGGATTCTATAGGTGCATGTGCCACTTTAGCTCAGGCTGTGGGTGTGAAAGTTCTTGCTCTCATGTTGTCCATGTCATGAATTAAGAGCGGCGCTTCGCGAAACTCTCCCACTGGTACTGTTTGCGCGGGCTAGTTACGGCTAGTTCCCGCAATTCTCGAACTTACTTCTGCTCAGCTTCGGGTCCAACATCACAACCAAACAACATGCAACCCCCTTCGATAACACTGATATGATAACGTTCAGAACAAGGCGAGTATTTTCAATAGCGTGTAGTGTTGCAGATTGCTTCGCTCCGTGCAATTTCGCATGTCCATTCCCAGCCTTTCGTGCCCCACTAACTCGAAGTAATCATACTGGCGCTCACTTGTTGCTCGTTTCCTAAAGCCGTGCTGATGAAAGTGCTGCTTGCCGGTTCTGGCCTTGACTGAGTGCTTGAGCGCAGATGTTGGAACCGTGATCTTGGAGTTGCCAGTGTCCGGGCCCTGGTAGCTCATCTTGAAGACTTCACCGTCACCCACCTCACACATGTCCACCACCAGGCTATGGACACCTGCCGCAAGGAACATCTCCTCGCTGTGCTTCTCGGTTTCCCCATGGCAGCCATCGTTGTCCACGACCTTCGCCCCATTCAGGTACATGATCGAACCTCCGGACACCAAAGCCCTCATGAAAACGATGCGCAGCATGTGCAAGCGACCGAAAGATGACCGAACAATGACCATACTGCCCAGCACTCTTTAAGTCTTAGCCCACTCAAGAAGAGCGTGCCGTCGTCCGAGCTCAGGTAGAACTTGTACTTGCCGTCGGTCTTCGTGATCAAACTGCCCGTGCACCTGCGGGTCACCCACAACTTCTATCCAGCCCATGGATAGCCGACGGACGCCCCCCGCCTGATGCAGAACTGATCCGTTTTGCGCACATTGGGGAACTGTCCGCTCTCCTGCCCCAAAAAAAACAAGTCCAGTTGAACAGCTGCTTCTCACAGTCCAAACTTGCAAGGATCTTGCCTTAGGGTGGTAGTTACATGGTCCCTTAATCCACGCCCTGAAATGGGGATCCCTTCTATACCCTTATATACCCCATAAAGAGGGTAAGGGACCGTGTAAACCCCCTCATCTTCAGTTAAACCGTTCAACCCTAAGCCACTCCATGAAAATCTCCGGCAGCACCACTGAATTGTCTGGGGTCCTTTGCAGCGAGCATGCTCGAGACATCCGGTCACATGTCGGAACTTGACAGCTCAAAATAGCAAGCTCTTCTTCAAGTTTGCGTGGGAAAGCCATCTCTGGTTCTTCTACTCAGCGAAGAGGCCCCGCACTCTCTCTTCTTCTTCTGCACAGCGGAGAGGCCCCCCCCTAAGGAAGACCCCTGATCTGTCTTTCGGTGAGATTGCGGCCCCTGACACATTGCTCACTTTACGGGCCAAGTTCGGTGTCTTAAGAGGCCCCCCGGTGGTTGACCCTCAGAAGTCGAGCTGGAGGAGGTGGCTTTCACAATCTCGCCGTCATGTTCCCCCCCAGTGTCGTTTTTCATCCCCCAGAGCGAGCATCGCTCTGGGGTTTCCAGTACGTTGTCAGTCGTGCTCTTGTCAAAAAACAGCAGGCGAATAACATGCGTTCATTCAAGGCCTTTCACAGGCACTCTCTCTTCTTCTTCTTCTTCTTCTTCTTCTTCTCCTTCTGCTTCCTCTTCTTCCTCTGCATCTCTCCGTTTGTCTCTCTTTCTCTCTCTGTCTCTGTCCCTGTCTCTCTCGCTACACGCTTAGACCCCCCCAGGGGGAAAGTCCCAGGTTTTTTTTGGTTTGCCTTCCCCACGGTTTTCGTGGCTCTCTGTCTCTTTCTGTTTCTTTCTTTCTTCTGTGTCTCTGTCTCTCTCTGTCTTTCTCTCTCTCACTCACTCTCTTTCTTTCTACTCTCTCCCGCTCTCTATCTCTCTCTCTCTCTCTCTCTCCCTCCCTCTCTCTCCACCTCCGTAGTCTAAGCGTGGAACCCCGGACCTTCTGAAGACACAGCACAAGTGCATTACACTGAGTGCTGCTTGGGTTCAGAACTCCCAGGTTCGGCACCTGGCACTGGGACTGATCGTAGAAGTAGTCGCACTGTAGCCCGCCCTCGAGGTTGGCCTGCGAGTCCCAAAGAACAGCTACACTTCCGACTCTTACCATCGGATAGAACGGGATAGAACTGAGATGGCAATGGGGGAAGCAGCGACGTAACCTGCTTTGGCGTCCCGAATCTGAGGACCGGTCTTCGGGAAACAAGGTGGTAGTTGTGGTGGTAAGTGTCGAGGTCGTTGTCGTTGTGCTGGTGGCCTCAGCGGTCCGAATCTCATCTATCTCGGACTTTATCTCTCATTCCAAAGTGTGATATCGAAGTGTGAAAGTGTTCCGCAAATCCACTCATGCTGTGTGTAAGTTCGGTGGCAAGGGATGATGCACAGCAGGAATCGATCTGTGAAGCGCTCGGCGCCCGACCGTGCTTGTTGTTGTGGATGTTATTGTGCTTGTCGTTGTACTGGTTGTTGTCGTCGTGCTGGTGCTCGTCGTGCTGGTGGTTGTCGTGGTGGTGGTCGTCGTGCTGGTGGTTGTCGTGGTGGTGCTCGTCGTGGTACTGGTTGTTGTCGTGGTGCTGGTGGTTGTCGTGGTGGTGCTCGTCGTGGTACTCGTTGTTGTCGTGGTGCTGGTGGTCGTCGTGGTGCTGGTCGTCGTGCTGGTGGTCGTCGTGGTGCTGGTCGTCGTGGTGGTGGTCTCAGCACTGGGAAAACATGAACTGTGCAACCATCACCTCGTTCCTACAGCCTTCTTGCGCAGCTCGCCAGGCAGTCGTAGAGCAATGCAACTTATCGTGTGCACACACGCACACACACACACACACAGAGACAGACAGACAGACAGACACACACACACACACACACAGAGACAGACAGACACACACACACACAAACACAGAGACAGACAGACACAGAGAGAGAGAGAGAGACATACACACAGAGAAAGAGAGAGAGAGAGAGAGACACACACACACACACAGACACACACACACACACACAGACACAGACACAGACACAGACACAGACGCACACACCCACGCACGCATGCGCGCATGCACGCACGCACGCACGCATGGCACGCATGGCACGCATGGCACGCATGCCCGCAAGCACGCACGCACACACGCATGCACGCACGCACGCATGGACGCATGCATGCACGCCTGCACGCATCAACGCAGCTAGCATGTGCACTCGGGCAAGGTAATGATGAAGAAACGTGCAAGAGAGAGCCACAGAGAGAGAGAGAGAGAGAGAGAAAAGCATCCTGCGCAAGAAGTTCGCTATGGAGAATGCAGAAGCAACCTCCGGGCAATTCTCAGGACACACCGTTCCGTAGCCCATCGGGAATGTTGCTCATGCCCAGCAGCCGTCACGCAAGCATAGCCCATGGTCCTCAGGAGGGCATGTGCTGAGAGTCACAATCCCACCATAAGCTGGGCCTGGCCCCCGTTTAGGGTTTAGGGTTTAGGGTTTCGGGTTTAGGCCGAGAGTCAAGCATCTTCCGTCAAACCATGCGCACTGCATGCGACGAGCCTGGGTTCACGCTCAGGCAGACGGCCGATTTAGTGCTGGGGTACTTTTTTTATGCAGGAATTTAGCAGGGATCATGGGGGGATAAGATCTAAACCCTTTTTTGCATCCGGGCTATGATGTCCTGGCCGGAAAGTCTAAACCCTAAACCCTAAACCCTAAACCCTAAACCCTAAACCCTAAACCCTAAACCCTAAACCCTAAACCCAGATCATGATTGCAAGCCAAAGGAAGACCATACATCTGGGGGCCTTCGAGGTAGCACTGAGGAATTCTCGCACTCTTGAACTTCAGTTTTTCACACTATAACAAGATTTCTATTTAAAAAGAAACTGCAATATGAGAATATTTCGTTGAAAACACAAAAACAGAATCATGAAATCATATAGAACACTAGTAGTATAATGAATAAAAAAAACAGAACATATATTTTTTGAATATCATGATAAACTAAAAGAAGTATTTATAGCAAGATAACAATATAATAACAATATTTTGTACTGTAATAGTGATCATACTATGACAGAAAAACTAACCATATAAACAGAAAATGATGATTTCATCAAATGACAAGAACATGTAAAAACAAATTTTACGTCGAGCATCCCCAACAGATTTGGATTTATTGGGGCTGGGCACTCAAGACACTCTGCTTAGTAGCCCAGTAACCATATTATAATAAGGGCACCCTTGTTTGGGTTGGTTGCTTTATAAGGGGACCCATAACCAAAAAAGGGGCAAAGGGTAACCACTGGGCTACTCAGGTTGGGTTGGGCACTCCAGGGACACTCGGGGGATACACCGGCATGGCATGGGGGTTTTGGGCGCGAACCCCACACCGAGGGTGGGGAATGAATATTGCTACATTCTGAGATACAGTCATACAACAATATGGTCATGTAATGATATGATAACGTACTTCTATAAGAGTATAACAAGTCCAATGGTCTAATCGTCTACTTAGATAGTAGTAGAGTAGTTACATTGTATCGTAGTTTAATAGTATGCTCGTATAATAGCATAATCGCAATCGTTATACTATATGCAAACAATAAATATAATCAGAGAAACACAGAAAAAGTGAAGAAAGATAATACTATACTAATATGGAAATATAAACATATAGTACAATAATACTATGGTATCGTAATTTACAATTATGCGATTATTACAAGTACTATAACTTAGCAAATCATATAGCGCTATGATCAAAATACAGGAATGTAAACATGTACTAATATGCTTACATAGTACATATAATGATATAAAACATATTTTGCTCGAACTCCCTGGAAGATATTTTGCTCGAACTCCCTGGAAGACTGCAAGTCTTCGGAAAGAAAAAAGAGAGCTTCCACCATGTTGGCTATGCCACTTCCACCGTCACGTAGCGACTGTCGCAGTCTGCCTCCTGCATGGTGTAAGCTTCACCCTAAACCCCAAACCCTATAAGCCCTATACCCTACTTAAACGGAATACCCCAAACCAAAGGCGTGTGGAGCTTCTGTGGAATGATTGCTAATCCTTTTTTGGACCACTACTTGTTACTCGCTTCCCGCGAGTTGACTAGCCATTACTCATGGCACACATCCCAGACAAGCTTTGTTTCAGGCCCACGAAGCTAAGCTGTGGAACTAGGGTGCAGATTTGTAGTATAAGCAGGGACCCTTTTTGGACCCAGACTCCTAAAGAGGAGACCCTAAACCCTAAACCCTTTTGAACCTGGAAGCTGCTTCATGCCCTACACCCTAAACCCTAAACCCTAAACCCTAAACCCTTAACCCTTAACCCTAAACCCTAGCACAGGCAATTCTTCAGGGCGTAGGCCATGACAACCCATGTCACGGTGCCTCCCAACGTCGGGGGGCCGACCGTCAGGGCTTCTGCAGTAGCTGCTTTAGGACTGCAGTGTAGGTGTCGGAATCATTACTCAACATATTCCCTTATGGTCCCTCCATTCAAAAATAGGATGACCCCCAAGACCCTCTATAGTAGCCGGGGCAGCCGCTGCTGGCAAGGCTCTTTGCACAGCCTTAGCAGCCCTTGCTCGGAGCGCCTAAAGGCCTGGAGCCCCAACATGAAACTGCAATCAAGGGGTTTAGGGTTTAGGGTGCAGGGTTTAGGGATCAAAGTTGAAAAGTGCTGCTGCCTCTGCAGTCAAGCACATCGGATCAAAACAGGATGAAGCATCTTCGGGCTTTCTTTGGGCAGAAAACAGCCCCCCCCCCCCCCCCCCCCCCCTTCCCCCCTTCCCCCTTTCTCCCGGTGGCCTGCAAGTGCGAGCATGAGCCGCCCTCCACAAGCTGCCCCTGCCATGGCGTGAAGGCTGGGGCATCTGAAATTCTCCAAAGAGCTCGGATTCTCAGGGTTTAGGGTTTATAGGGTTTATAGGGTTTATAGGATCCCTCTTAGTGGGAAGGAGACTAGGAGCACGATCATGTCAGGCTAAAGCAGCATTCGAAAATTTCCTGGCTTCACTTCCGGGAGTCCATACGCAAAACTGCAGTGGAAGAGGGCCCCGAACCCCCCGGGAGGATCAAATAGAAGCCCCCAAATTGTACCCTCTACTACTACTGGGTCATTTTCAGGGACCCTTAAGGGGATCTATTTTTTGGGATCCTCCCAAGAGTCTTGGGGGTGATTGAACGCGCGCGCCATCTGATGCGCGAGTCTGGGTGGCATCAAGCATAAAACAAAATATGGTCAACAGAGCAATAAGAAAGAAAAAGAGCATGAAGCGCTGCTGCCCTAACATACCAGATGAATCCAGTCTTGTTGGTGATATCCAGTCTTCTTGCTATCTGCGGTGTGCGCGTTGCTGTTACTGCGTAACAGTGTATCAGTGTATCCTCTATGCAGCAAAGGGCAAAGCCCCACCTGGCACTCAGGGAGGAACCCCTCCTCGAGCGGCTCAGGGCGCTTCGTGCCCGAGCCAAGAGGAGGTGAGTTGACGTCGAAGGACCAGCTCCCATCCTTGTTCCCATCCTTGCCCTCCTGAGGGTTTCAGAAAATGGGGGGGGGGGGGTACCTCTTATGTAAACCAAAATGCCTGTAATCCCTTTTAAAGGATCCCCCCCCACAGGGAACCCCCTATTTTGGAAGCCCCCCTCCTTGCTGTCATCGGCAACCTTCACCTGCTTGGCCTTGCTGTTCACCGCTTGGACATCCGCACTGGTGAAGTCCTTGACTAGTGGGTTTAGGGTTTATAGGGTATAGGGTATAGGGTATAGGGTTTAGGGTTTAGGGGTTCTGCTTTGGGGCTCTACTGCGGGAGATGTCAGTGTTTGGGGAGCACAGAATCGAACCCCTCACTCGCCAACTGCAGCAAAGGCCGTTTAGGGAAGTCCTTGAGCGCGGCGATGGCCCGGGACCTGCTCTCCCATGACACGAGCTCGTCGGGCATGGCGGCCAAGATGAGGGCGAACTGATCCGCGATGTTCACCAAGGGGATCGTCGTCTCTGGGCTCTGGTAGGGGCCGAAGCCCATCTGCAGTCCAAGCTGAATCCAGTTGCCCGAGAGCAGGCCTTTGACCTCAAAGTTGACCACACCAGCATTCTTGAAGCTGAAGAGCTTGAAGACGTTTGCTGCCGACTGGGCCTCGGATTCGGACTCCATGGCGCTGATGCGCTTCCGAGCTTCTTGCCCTCGCAGCTCGGAGGTCTTGTTGATGCCCAGATCCTTCCCGTATTCGACTGATGCCAAGTACAAGTCGTCTTCCTGCTCTTTCCAGTACAGCGACTTCTCCAACTGAGTCTGTGCACGTGCCTTGCTGTGGTTGCTTGCCAGAAGAGCCGACCGTTTCATGGAAGCCATGCCAGTCCCGCTCTCTGAGCCTGTGTCTGAAACAGCAAAGTAGCTTCGAGCGGTTTGATGGCCGCCATTGATGTTGTCCGTCACGAAGTGCGTGTCTTTGCCGAAGCGCTTGGCCAGGCGGAGCGTCCGGCTGAAGAGCATGACGTTGTTGGACTTGATCTCAGAGCGCAAGACGCTGAGGTCGAGCCCGCCCGGCTGATTTTTCGGCCAACACACCTTGATGAACATTCAAGCCGGGGATCAGTCTGCAAAAGTATATAATTATGCATCACACGCGTTGCTACAATTTGCTACCACGAAATGAGCATGTGCTAGGTGAGCTCTGGAAAAATGAGCGTCCCGACTGCATTACATGTAGGCTCCGGACTTGGCTGTCCACCTCGGCCAAAGGCCCGGGCAGCAAGTCAAACCTTCATTGAAGGCTTGAAACCCTGTAAATAATAATAATAATTATATATATATATGTACATACATACATATATATATAATTACATATAATTATATATAATTATATATATATATATATATAATTATATATATTTATATATAATTATATATAATTATATATAAGTATATATAAGTATATATAAGTATATATAAGTATATATAAGCATACATATATATATATATATACATATATATATATAACTATATACATATACATACATATATATATATATATCAGCTGTTTCTTAGGAATTATAATGCCCGAAAATGAAAAACTATTCCCAAGTATCCCTAAGAAACTGGATGCCACCGACAAAGGCAACGACGGGCTGCATGTTCAACTTGAAGGTCACGGTCACACACCTCTCGATTTGCGTGTCCGCCGTGTAGAAAGAATAGCCTTGCCACTTGTTCCAATTGTCCTTCATCCACTTGTTGCCGCACGGCACCGCCCAAGGCTCCAGCTTCACGAAGTCGTCCTCAGTTGGCGCTTGCCAGTCTTTTTGAGTAGCCTGGTTGTTGCTGCCGGTCTTGTCCCTTGGTGCAAAGGCCAGGCAGGATCCCGTGGCGGTCTCCCTGCCATCGAACCTCGGAACTGCTTTGTTGCGGAACAACAGTGCGCAACTGCCCGACTGCAGTGCAATTCGGCAAGACTCCCCGTGCGTCTGTGTGACGATCCCGCAACGCCCCCTACTCGTGGTCCGAGCTGACTTTTGCTTATGAGGAACATGCTGCAACACAAGACAAGGCATTGCTGTCCACTGAAGGACATCCCGAATACACCCTTTAACTAGATAAGTGCATCCTCAGCCTCAACTCCTCCCCTCCCCCCCCTACATGAGACAAGCAGCTGGGTCACCAATGCTGTGGTCTTGGGCCCATGGTCCTCAAAGTCCCAGCTGACTGCGGCTGGAGGCTCCTCATCGTCGCCACGCTGTGCCTCAAGGATTGCAAGGGGTTGGCCCAGAACCTTTTCAAGACAACCGACGCAACGATTAGCTTCATGCAACAAAAGCCTCACACCATCCCCTTGAAACCACCCGGCAAACATCACTGCAACGGCAACAGAACAGCGATCCTTCGCGGCCGCCATCTCCTGCAACAACTCGGCTTGTCCACTGGGCGCGTGCTGCGAGTGCTTCGTGATGAGGAGGTTGGGGCCTGAACCAGGCTTCAACTGGCTGGTTCATATGAGTAGTAGGAAGTGAGGGAATTAGGGCCCCCCCCCTTTAGAATCCCTCGGACCAGGCTTCAAGGGCTTGGGGCATCTTGGGGCGTCTTGGCATTTGACGAGCTCCGGGAAAGATGTTTCACAGTTGAGATTGGTCCTAATGCGCTTTTTTTGGTAAACAAAAAAAGATAGGCGTTTCTTGCGAAAATTGTGTTTCCAGTAGCTAGCTGTGCATTTTCAATTTCAGGCAAATTAAACTGCAAAAAAAAATCAAATACCCAAACCTCGCCGGAGGTTGTTGCAGAGCAGTTTGGATACAGTTTAGATGTTTTGGTTTTGGATCTTTGGAATTGGGGAGTGTTTGATTTTGAGTTTTTGGGTTTCGGGAGTTTTTTGATGGGAGAAAGGATCTCGTCTTTCCGTCAGACCAAACAATCAAAAAGACTGCTTCCTGCAGTACCGCACCCCTCCCCGTCTCCCCGCACATAAATTTGCACATAGATTGGGTACTTCTTCTCCATTGCTGCAAGAGAGGCCTCCCACCACCCCCGGCCCCCCTTTGTACAGAAATCCAAGGATCCAAACATTTTCTATGTGAGTTTGTCCGGAAACTTTGGATTCTTGACTTGACTTGCTTCGGAAATCTGCATTTCTGGAGTTTGGGACGTTTGGAACTTGGGTTTTTTCGATGCGCCAACAGCGGAGCTGTGGAGGGAGGGGGCCCACAGAAAAACACATAGCGCCCTTCTCCCTGCAGAAGCTTCCAGGATTTGCATGAGATACCTACAAGGGGGCTCCATCTGCAAGATTAAAATAAGAGATCAGCCGATCCTTGTAACATGACATGCGCACCCTAGAAATGAGTTGATACTTGGCTTCTCCATTTCGCGGTTGGTCCATTGGGGGCGGGGGAGGGTACACACGTACATGTACATTAAGGTATATGATATATGGGGGGGGGGGGGGGGGGGGGGGGGCGGGGGTAGCATGTGTACATACATGCATACATACATACATACGTACATAATTGTATATATATATATATATACATATATATATATATACATACATATACATACGTACATACACACACATATCTATATATATATATATGTATAATCTATACATAGCAGAAACTGTTTCCAACAACCTCAAAACCCCAGCGACGCGATGCAATGACCCTTTTTTGCCGATCCACCGAAGGGATACAAGAAGCACACAATCCCATTTTCGGGCTTCTGAGGTTGAGGCAGTTTAAAAGTTTAGGGTTTAGGGTTTAGAAGTTATGTGTTTAGGGTTGATGTTACAAGGTGACTCCAAAGCCTGGCCGCCCACGAAACTCTACACCACAAAAAGATTTAAACCCTAAACCCTAAACCCTAAACCCCAAACCCCAAACCCTAAACCCTAACCCTGAACCCTAAACCCTAAGCCTGCCTCTATGGTGCACCATGGGTGGAGAATCGGCAGAAGGGAACTCGGTCGTGGCAGCCACCTGGTAAATTCCCGAATCTCGGGCCCGTGCTGTTTTTTGGTGAGTACGGGCCCATGTATTTGCTGAGGGCTTGGGGCTGTTTAGGGTCAGGGACCACGGTTTAGGAGAGCCGGGCACCTGCAGCAGAGACTGTCCGCCCTTCATGGCCTGTGTGGCCACTGTAGCGGCGACCTTCGCGAAGGCCTCGATGAACTCGCTGAAGATGTCGCCCAGGCGATTCAAGAAGTTCAGCGGAGGGACGCTTCCCACGATCTTGAAGCCGAGGCACTGGACCAGGTCACCTTGCGAAGTCGGATTGGCGCACTTCATGAGCTCGTTGCCCAGCGTGAGCGTTGTTCTGATGGAGTCCGCCTGGCCACCTGCTATGAGCTGCACTGGCTCCGGCAGGAGGTGCATGATTCTGCCATGGACAATTTTGTTAAGTTGCCATGGCAGGAGGGCCATGATGTTGCCACGCGCAATGTGGTGAAGTTGACCTGGCAGCAGGTCCATAATGTTGCCACCCGCAACTTTGTTCAGCGGATCTGGCAGGAGGCCCATGATGTTGCCGCCCGCAACTTTGTTCAGTGCATCCGGCAGGAGGCCCATGATTCTACCATCCGCTACTTTCCTGACTGGCTCAGGGACCAGATCGAGAATTCTTCCCTGCGCAACTGATTTCACTTGGCTGGGCAACAGATCGAGAATTCTTCCCTGCGCAACTGATTTCACTGGGTTGGGCAGCAGATCGAGGATGCGTCCATTTGCGAGCGTCTTCACTGGGTGTGGCATCCAGTGCAGAGGGTTCGCAAAATGCATGATCCAGCGTCCCAAGCACTGAATCAGCTGATGGTGATGCCCGCGGTGGGGACAATGCATGAGCTCCCATCCGACACTGAACACGGTCCTCATGGCCTCATGGTGCGTATGCGCCACCATCCGTAAGGGATATGGCATAATATCCACGATTTTTCCTTCTGCGACCGACTTCAGGTGCGATGGCCAACTAAGGAACCTCCATCCCCAGTTGAAGTTGAACAGCTCGGTCTCCTGGCCCATGAGTCGGATAACGCATCTCTGGTTCCCGAAGTTGACGCCCCAGTGATGGTTGTCTTGGCTCTGTCAAGCGGCCCGAAAAGGACATTTAGGACATCCACGCAGTCATGGAGTGACGGTGTGCAATTAGGCCCGTTCAGACAGCGATTAAAAGGGAGGTTAGGTAATGAGTGTCTGACTTCCCCGGCTCGAGAGAGCCCAGACACACAGGTATCAACAAAAGTATGTATGTATGTATGTATCTATGCTTGGTCCTTTCCATGTACGCAAAGTGCACAAGTAGACACACACATATATATTACATCCGCCGACCCCAGAAGCGGGGGCGGCGTCAGTGAAGACTCATTTTCCCTGCACCGCCCTCCCCGCCCTCCCCGCCCTCCCCGCTCTCTCCATTCTCCCTTCCCGTGCTCTTAGTGCTTCGTCTATAGGGCCGCCCACCACCCCTACTCCCCCTGCCCCAGCCTGCTCCCAACCTGCTGCTTTACCTTGATATGAAGTGTTTTGAGGGCTCCAATGCATCCCTTCACCCTGTACCTTGATGAAGTGTGTGTGTGTGTGTGTATATGTATATATATATATGTATACACACGTATCCATACTGGCGAGGCGCTCTTCCACAATGACGGGCCGTGTGAGCTTGGGCACCACGCGCGCCAGTCGGTGAAACCACGGACAAGGATGTCCATGGCCATTTGCACGGTGTCGATGGTCGTCCGTCTCACGAACTCGACCTCCGTGCAACGGATTGGGGATGCCCTCAATGTGTCAGTACGAGTACGGTTGGCAAATGCTGTAGTGACTATCCTGACTGACAGCCAAGGACGCACGTCCTCTTGCCTCCTGTGATGGTCTCCCGTTTAAAAACTGAATTTGCCCATCACAAGCGCCTCGAAACAACAGAAATCAAGCACGCCTGCGAGAATGGTGCGCCAAGCCATTCGTTTGCCCGTGTTCTATACCACAGGCCTTAAAGAACTCATGGTATGTTCAGGGGACCTGGTTCTTATTTAAGTTATGTGCAAGAAAAACCACCCTAACCCTCTTTGAGCCCAGACCAGTTACGTGACCATCGACGTATACATCCAAGAAAACTAAGTGCGACCTTGCGATTGCCCTAACCCTAAACCCTACACCCTAAGCCCTTTTGTCGCAACACTCTGCTGCCCCGCCTTGTCCGAAGCCAGTTCGTAAGCATCCCCCAGAGCATCCCCGATAAGGCCTGTTCCATCCTTGGAGGTGTTTAGCGTTTAGGGTTTAGGGTTTCGGGTTTAGGGTTTTAGGCTTTCCCAAGCGGGGGAGTATAGCGTTTAATTGTTTAGCGTGGAGGGGGGTTTAGGGCTGAGGGTTTAGGGTTTAGGGTTTGTATAGAAGCCAATAAACAAGCTTAAAGGGTGATAGTGTAACTTGACAGAACCGTAGATAAGGCTCTATAACGTGCCCAAAAAGTGGAAAGATTACTGTAAAGAGCACCTGAGGATCAAGTTTTTCGGCTGCATCCTTTGCCGCGTCAATCACATCGCCTGGGCTGCATGGGAAATTCTCGGAATTGCTCACCATGTGAATGGGTTTAGGGTTCAGGGTTTAGGGTTTAGGATTTAGGGTTTAGGGTTTAGGGTTTCATCTGGAGATATGGCAACAAAAATCCATAAACAACTTGGTTGGATGAATCCGCGCCAAAATGCCCACAATGGGAATTTTGGAGGACACGCTTCCGTCCAAGGAGGCATCCTCCTCGATGCAGTGGTGTAGACTTCAAACTAATCTTCAAGCTCCCCCTAAACCCTAATCCCTAAACCCTAAACCCTAAACCATAGCATTCTTAACTGAGGCTATTAGGCCTCCAGGTGCCTCAGCCGGCGTGGAGCGAGTCTGCCGCCCCACCGGAGCCGACCCATTCGGTGCAGGGCAGCTTGGCATAGAAGCCCGGCGTGAGGTGTGTGGCGGTTATAGGCCATTGAAGGCCATTGCATCAGTTATTGCATCTGACCCTGCCCCTCGGAACTTGACCTAAATGGTCACTTTCAAATGCGCTCGTCTGAGACTGGGAACATGCACCCTCAATCTGATTGGGTGTGTGGGTGTGCGCGGGTGCGCCGGTGGGCGGGTGTGCGGGTGTGCAGGTGTGCGCGGGTGCGCGGGTGTGCGGGTGTGCGCGCGCGTTTTCGTGTGTTTGTGTCTATACGTGTCCAAGGATCTGCGTGTCTGCGTGTGTCTGCGTGTCTCCGCGTGTGTCTGCGTGTGTCTGCGTGTCTCCGCGTGTAACGGCGTGTCTCCGCGTGTCTCCGCGCGTCTCCGCGTGTCTCCGTGTGTCTCCGCGTGTCTCTGCGTGTCTCTGCTTGCGTGTCTGCGGCCTCCACTACCCGCCCATCTGCGGCAGCAATCAGCCACAAGCACAAGGCAGGTTACTCAGAACCCTGGACCCTAAACCATCCTAAACCGTAAACCCAGCGTCCATGCACCCGCCTGGTCGGCTTTGGCTTTTCGGCGCTTCTGAAGCAACTCAGCCTGCAAGCGAGGACGACATGTCTCGAAGCGAGGGGTAGTGACAGACATTTGCCCCATAACCTCCCCATGACCGTACTGTCAACTATTGAATCTAAACCATCAAGCCTCGAACCTTGACCCGGCACCTTTCCTGCTCTGAGAACCGCCTGCCGGACCAGACTTGGAATTCGGGCGGGTGAAGTAATCCTGAGGAGTAGCATGCAGCCGGCACCAAAAACAACCGTGTGAAACAATCCCTAAACCCTAAACCCTAAACCCTTGTCTTGAAACCCGCTGCAGCATCCTTTCTCCACCCATCAGGTGGATGGGTCGTGAGTCGTGAGGACTTGCAAGCCTCCCAAAACTTGATGTTGGTGAGTAGGGAATGACGGAATGAGGTACCCCATATCCCCCTATATATATATATGTATATATATGTACCCTTTAAAGGCTTATATAGGGTACCTCATTGCTTCATTCCCTACTAACGTTAACCAACAGTAAGGAAAGCAATGCAACAAAGAGCCTACTGACGCGGAGGCCGCAGGATAAGGCCTTCTTGGTGGTATACACAGAACTAGTGCCTCAAAGGAACAAGAAACAAAGTACGGCATCGATGGTAGAGTGCCAGCAGACTACGAGAAATCCACCCAGAAACTGACAACAAACCTTCTAGGGATTGTGTAGGGTACCTTCTGCCTGCATCGCCCTAATTCCCTAGCAGCTCTTTCCTAATTTACTAAGAACGACCGCAAGGAAACCTGTGCTACCAGAGAGAGTCCGGTGCCTGGGTTTGTTTGGCCTTCGGAGAGTCGGGTGCCTGGGTTTGTCCGGGTTTCGGATGGAATTCTCCTTGGCCACGCAGGACAATCAGAGTCTGAGGGGGGGGGGGGGGGCGATGGAGGTGACAAGGAGAGGGGGACTCACAGCAACCCAGTCTCGCTTGTGGAACTGGTGCGAGTGCTTCTTCAGCACCCCTCGGAGGGTGGCTTGTGCCTCCTATAGCGCCAGTGTTTCGCAAGAGGTTCTGCAAACTCTGCGAAGTATGCGGCATGCCAGAGCCCACGTCGCCACCCCCCCAGTATCCCCGTCCTCGAGTTGGGCTTCTGGATCCTTCTGCAGCAGCGTCACCGTGCTGTCCTTGTGATCGGCCTTCAGGTGCTCCTGGTGCTGTTGTGGTTGGGAGACGGTTGTTTAAACAACTGGATGGCTTCTGCACTGCGGGCTTGGCAAGAGCTGAATGCCGGGTGTTCAAGGGAAGCAAACTTCGCGTTTCGCACGGCTCCTTCACCGTCCCTTTGAGTGAATTGATCTCGGCCTGCTGCAACTCGCAAAGCGTCCTGCGAGGACACATGCTGCAACATCATGTTCCCAAGCTTTTGCAGGGCTTTGGGTTGGGTATCGCTGTCCGCAGGGATTCAGGGCCTTCGTGCTATGCGTGCCAGGCCAAACTTGACATGTTGCTTTCAGCAAAGATGTCGTTGCACCATAAAGTATCCATAAAGTTATTTTGCTTTGTGGACGATGTTCCATCCATCCTGTCGGGGATACACTGGCCCATGAGGACTTGAGGTCAAAGTTAAAAGTTCGTCCGAGCGTCTCAAGCTGAGTGATCTTCAGCATCATGAACTCAAGGGTCCTCATGACTCGGGAAGACGAGACCGAATGGGGAATGTCACTTGAAGCTAGGAGTTATCTAGAGATTTTTCTCTAATAAACCATAAGCTCATCGAGGGTATGTGTACACATATATGTGTGCTTCTCTGAATTCGGGTCCTTTTTGGGGTCCTTTTTAAGAAGGTGCCGTGCTGTATAGGTGACCCACAAAGGGCTTCTAATTTAGAGAAATACCCATCTGGAACTTACAGGGGCTCCTCCCAAGCCCACCAATGCCTTTGGTTTTATTTTCGCTTGTCGCATTCTCGCTCGTCACGTTGATGTCGTCGTCTGTCGTGTTCTCGGTCATGAGTGCTGGGTCGGGTATGTCATTCATTATGCCCATGTCCGCGGCCATATTTTTTGCGATGATCTCATTCGCCTCCCTGGTAATCGTCGAATTCGTGGACTTGACCAGCTCGAAGGGGAAATCGCCAGTCTTGAAGGCCCACGCGGTGGTAAGGACACACATCCAAGCAGTCGCAAAGTGCAACCGAAAGTTCGGTGAGGAAGATAACATTGCGGAGCTCGCAGGTGTTCTTGCTACGTTATTGCTACAGGTGCGGTCGCGGCCTGCGCGACCAAAAACATGAAAGTGGCAAGCGAAAACGGCTGCCTCAAGCAACATCGATCTAGCAAGCCCCCGCAAAACTGCGCACCAGTGTGCCAAACAATTCGTTGGCGGAGGAGTATAGTTCCGTGCTGTAGCCGGCTTTGGGGCGTCTTAGGGTTTAGGGTTTAATTAGGGCTTAGGGTTTAGGGTTTAGGGTCGTTAAAGACGTTGTGGTACATCTTCTCCCGGATTCGGGAGACGCCCATGAAGTCCCATGGAGGCTTCTCTTTCGAACTATTCTTTGGGATTCGCAATGCCTTCTACATCTCTTTGCGCCCCTCCCGCAACACATGCAAGACAGCAAGCAAGAGTCAAGAGCGTACTTGGCCGTGCGACTGCGAAATCTCAGAAGTTGGGAGGGGGACCGAGGAGTGTCACATCAAAGGTGGGAGAAGGTGCAAGAGGGTCTGAAGAAGCATGTGGAGGTTGCTAGAAACTAGGGGCCTCTTACAAGCAGCTTCTACATTCTACATCTCTTTCTGTATATTTAAGAAACAGCAATTTTTAGGGGGCACCAGCAGAACCACGCCACACGACCATGGACTTTTTTTCTGGCCAGGACCAGTAGGGCTTCGTCGCTCGATAGCAGAGAGCCTTCAGCCCTGGAGACCTCCAAGAAGGCACTTTCCAAGGGTCTCGGGAAGAAGCTATCGGAGGATCAGATCAAGCCCCACCTAGCTAGCTGCCGAAAATAACTGCGGCTGTGGGAGAGGGCGGGGGGGGGTTTGTGCTTGATCTCAGGCAGTACAGGAAGCCTTGGCCGATTGTCAAGTTGCTACTGAGCCGGTTCGAACTGCCGAGCGCAAGCAGCCAATGCAAAGGCAAAAGCCGCAGGCAGGGCGAAGAAGAGCCAGGAGTCAGTTTTTCCAGGACGAGGGACATGGTACACTCATGTTTTGAGTGATGGAACTAATTACCGTCACAGTAGTGAGTTTTGCATGCTACCCCGCGACTGCCCCTAAACCCTAAACCCCTGAACCCCTAAACCCCCAGAAAACCTCACGAGCAGTTGCAGCTTCGCGTTCGATAGCACAGGATTTAGGGGTTTAAGACTTAGGGTTAGAGGCTTTCGCCCTTGCGCAGATGGAGAGGCCAGCTCCCTGAGACAAAGGATGTATCCCTCGCTGCCCACTTGTGGGGGGCCTCACTATTCCAAATCTCATGAGCGAGCAGTTACGACTCGTATACTTGGGGGTTTCCGAAAATTGGGGTACCAATTTTACACCCCAAATCCCTTAAAGGGACCCCCAAAAAGGGTACCCCTCTCTCCGCAAACCCCCAAAGACTTTGCTAACCCCAAGGGCGCCAGGTGCAAAGCTTTGGGTTCTTGATGTGCAGGTGCTAGGGCTGTTATTGAGCAAGCACATGCCGCTGTTGAGTACTGCGCAGCAGGTACTTGCGTGTTCGATGTAAGTTTCTGTGTTGTTGGGCTTGCGGGGGTGGTGGAGTTTAGGGCTCAGCTCGAGGGTGCATCCTGTGCAGGACTCGGGCAAAGAGAATGTCAGTTCCGTTACTGCCAAGATTGCTTCAGTGCTCTTTAAACGGCTCGACCAGTGCAATCGGGACTTCTGGAGGTTCGTACGCCTGCCTGTGGCTGTTCACCGTGAAACGTCCTTTAACCGCAAAACCGTGAATGTATCATACTTGGGCCGCAACTGCATCGGCATGAAGATGTCGAGGTGCTTTGAACGATGATCCTGGTGTGGTTCGTGTGCAGCTAAGGACATAAACTGGATTCACGTCGTTTTGGCCGATCCTGCAGACCCTGAGAAGACAATCCCTGCAAGTTGCCTGTCGCAGACCCTCACGAGTTTGTGGAGTATGCTTGCACCCAACAAGTCAAAGTGTAGCTATATCTGTCATATGCGCATTGCGATACCACATGTCAAACCGACTGCGTGCCTAGAACGTGCCCAATGTCAAGTACTGTCTAACAAATGTGGAGAAGCATGTAGGACCTACATACAGGCCGTGGCTCTTGTAAGTGTATATGCTTATAGGGTCTGGGGCTTATGGGTGTTTAGGCTCTCCAGTGCGTTCACAATGACCGGAATGTGGACCATTGCAAACTCCCGCCCTGTCCGAAAGACCCAGCCACCCCCTCCCCCCCCCCCCCCCCCCGTACCGGGTTAGGGTTTAGGGTGGTTTCTTTGTGTGTGTGTGTGTGTGTGTTTCTGTTTTTTTTTTTTTTGGGGGGGGGGGTTTTAGGGTGCAGGGTTTACGGTTCCCCCCCACCCCATCAGTGCCCCCCATCACCCCAGCATCTGTAAGCTCTGCCACCCACAACCCTCCGGCCTTGAATTAGGGTTTAGGGTTTAGGGTTTAGGGTTTAGGGTTTCAAGCCTTGAATCACTTCGCAAAACTTCACAACACCCCTCAGCCTAGACAAACCAAAAACCATCTGAAAGTTACCTGGACCCCGAAAGTATGTAAAAACACGCAGCCCAAAACCGTTCAAGGGACCGTTGCTTTACACAGTTTGGGGGTTTATAGGTATAACTCAACTAGCTCAAACAAGAACCTTCTATATGAACCCCCAAAGAACGGCATGCTCCCTTCGGGCCTCCGACTGCAACGTCTGCCATCGACAAAGCTGCTTTGCTAGGCTAAGGTTGGGGAGGATGACTTCCGGGGGTTTCAGGGTCTACCGTCGGTTTTGGGAACTCCGAGATCCGATTTTGTCAGGATTCAGGGTTTAGGGTCTTTAGGGTTTAGGCCGAAATTCGAGCTTCGGAAAGAGGCATGGGCTTGAGCAGATGGCTCGAGCGCGGCGAGCACACAATCTCAAGCTCTCTCGTCGTAGAGAAGGCGTCCTGCCGAAATCTTCATGAGCTTCCTCATCATGGACATCATCCTTATTTCGTTCCATATAGTCCTATATAGTCCTATATATGTCTATAGTCTATAGTCATCATCATCGACATCCTCATCGTCACCGCTCCTGTGCGACCACGGCTAGACTCTCTTAGCAGTCGTGGATGTTCTAGCCGCGCACTGCCTAGCATCAAGACGAACTCTCACGTTCAATAGTGCCCTTGTGCTGATCATGCTGCAAGCGAATCAGTGGTCAGTGGCCAGTGGTCTGATTCTATCAGAACAAGGCCATCAATCAAGCCACTTGTACGCGCAACCCTTCTTGTGGGCTGATCATTAAGTGAACACAGCGTACCTCCCAAAAAGGCGTTACCTTTTGAGCCTGTGGCTAGCTGATTGCTGCTTCCCCCTCGGCTGTGTCACTTCCCGAGCTTTGCATTCAGGTACTCCATGTTGGCCCACATTTCATCTTCCGTCAACGCGCGATTCCAAACCATGATCTCCATGACGCCAAAGTCGGACCACTCGTGAAAGCCCTCGTTGACATACAGATGGTAGTCTGCGTGGTTGACGCCGTGCCGGATTGCGATGTTCTTTCTCTCTTGACCCTTGAAAACAACTCCGGCACGGCTGCCACACATCCTTGGTACCCCGGTTGTTTGGTAAGGGTGCCTTTTTTGTGCTGGTTACGTTTATACCGGAGCAACCCGGAACCCAAAGCGGCCAAACGGGTACCACTGAGCTACCAAGCATCACGAGCCAGTCGGTGGAACTTGGTCCTTCGTGCGGGGTGACCCATGTTCCGTAATGAGCTACGCCAGCACGGCCGCCCCAGTGGCCATGTAGCCAGTTGGGGTGGTTGGTTTGGAGAATGCGACCCTTTGAACGGCCCAGATATCGTGTGACCGAGCAAATGGAAAAGTCCGAAGTCATGATCCTGCCGAAGTCGTATCCCGCGCCAGTGTTCCCGCTGATGTATGCCACAGAACGATAGGCACCGTGTCCAGATTCAACCTTCCTGGAAACACTACCCTTGGTCACACGCCCCTGCCGGTTGCCTACCACACTTTTCCAATCTCGACTCGCATCCTCACTCCTGAACCAGGCCACCATGGCCGACTGGGCCGCAGGCTGAGGCGTTGCCTGGCTCGAAGAACGATCTACGGACACACAACAAAGTTCAATTTCTCACACATGCCAACATGTAGCGAGGAAGGGTGGCTCTTCAGCCTTGAGACTGCTTGCGGTTGCAAAAGCTATTGTGCGGAAGCAGGGATGCGGCAAAATGCTTGTGCCTGGATTTTCCAATTCAAGTACTCCATGTTGGCCCACATTTCATCTTCCGTCAACGGGCGATTCCAAACCATGATCTCCATGACGCCAAAGTCGGACCACTCGTGAAAGCCCTCGTTGACATACAGATGGTAGTCTGCGTGGTTGACGCCGTGCCGGATTGCGATGTTCTTTCTCTCTTGACCCTTGAAAACAACTCCGGCACGGCTGCCACACATCCTTGGTACCCCGGTTGTTTGGTAAGGGTGCCTTTTTTGTGCTGGTTACGTTTATACCGGAGCAACCCGGAACCCAAAGCGGCCAAACGGGTACCACTGAGCTACCAAGCATCACGAGCCAGTCGGTGGAACTTGGTCCTTCGTGCGGGGTGACCCATGTTCCGTAATGAGCTACGCCAGCACGGCCGCCCCAGTGGCCATGTAGCCAGTTGGGGTGGTTGGTTTGGAGAATGCGACCCTTTGAACCGCCCAGATATCGTGTGACCGAGCAGATGGAAAAGTCCGAAGTCATGATCTTGCCGAAGTCGTATCCCGCGCCAGTGTTCCCGCTGATGTATGCCACAGGACGACCGGCACCGTTTCCAGATTCAACCTTCCTGGAAACACTACCCTTGGTCACACGCCCCTGCCGGTTGCCCACCGCACTTTTCCAATCTGGACTCGCATCCTCACTCTTGAACCAGGCCACCATGGCCGACTGGGCCGCAGGCTGAGGCGTTGCCTGGCTTCGAAGAACGATCTACGGAAACAGAAAAAGTTCAGTTGCATGGGCCTTCCAAGGTACCATGGCAAGATACGTGATACCGAAATTGCAGGTGGGCCTTGGCATGCTTCAGGGCTGACTTGGGCACCGTGATCTTGGAGTTGCCGGTGTCCGGGCCCTGATAGCGCATCTTGAAGACTTCGTGGCCACCCATCTCGCACATGTCCACCAACAGGCTGTGCAGACCTGCCGCCAGGAACTTCGGTTGGCTGGGCTTCTCGGTTTCTCCATGGCAGCCATCGTTGTCGACGACCTTCTCCCCATCCAAGTACAAGATGGAGCCTCTGAACAAATGACTCATCTTGTTTTGGCGTCTCAGACATAATGCCTCCTATGCAAGGGACCCATGATCATCAGGCTCCTCTAGCAATTTCTGAGCCCGGGAACCATCGTCTGAGGCGGTGTAGAATTTGTAATTGCCCGAGGTCTTGGTGACCAAATGGCCTGTGCACCTGCATATTTCTTGCTAGGATTTCTGTCAAACCGATTGCCATGGCGGACGCAACCCATGTCCACCCCGCGCCTGAGGCAGAAATTGTCTCCTTGGCGCACGTTGGGGAATCGCCCGTGCTCCTGACAAAAAAATGGAGCACAGGCTGCAAGGACAATAGCTTGCCATCATGTTTCAGGACCTTCGATACAGAGATTAACCCATCGACCTCGCGTTGTGAACCCCAGTCCATGTAGATCTCCGGCAGAATTTCAGTGTGGGCTGGGGTCCTTGGGGTTGCAGTGGACCCAACAGAATTAGGAGGCATCCGAAGATTCCAAAAAAGCAAGGAAGTCTCAAGAGGCTGAAACCCTAAACCCTAAACCCTAAACCCTAAACCCTAAACCCTCACTGTTGCCGGGCTGCATGGCAGCGAGGTCAGGGATCTGGCACTGTGCCTGGTTGTAGAAGTAGTCGCACGTCAGGCCATCCACCATGTGCTGGCATGAGGTGGGGAGTTTAGGGTTTAGTTTAGGGTTTAGGGTTGAGTTTAGGGTTTAGGGTTTAGGGTTTAGGGTTTAGGGTTTAGGGTTTAGGGTTTAGGGTTTAGGGTTTAGGGTTTAGGGTTTAGGGTTTAGGGTTTAGGGTTTAGGCATTACGACACATCAGAAGCACCCAGTGTGTTCCCTTAGGCTGCACCTATACAGACTGCAGAACCTTGGGGGGACCAAAGGAACCCCAAAATTGGGGGTCGCATACCCTATACTACTAGCATTCAAACTCAGGTACTTGAACCATAAACCCGTTTAGGGTTCATTTGGCCCCCCAGGAAGTGCGCAGCCTTGCGCTCAACTACCTGTCATCCGGCCTGGATGTCGTGCTTCAGCGCAGATGTGGGCACCGTGATCTTGGAGTTGCCGGTGTCCGGGCCCTGGTAGCGCATCTTGAAGGCTTCGTGGCCACCCATCTCGCACATGTCCACCACCAGGCTATGGACACCTGCCGGAAGGAACTTCCGGTTGCTGGGCTTCTCGGTTTCGCCATGACAGCCATCGTTGTCGACGACCTTCTCTTCATTCAGGTACATGAGAGAGCCTTTGCTACACCGCATCAGAAGTCTCCGGAGCTCTTCTTATCATGATGCATGCCACCCTTTGTAAGCCCCAAAACCGTCGTCTGAGCTGAGGAAGAACGTGTAGTCGCCCGGTTTTTTTGTGACCAGACGGCCTTTGCACCTGCGGCTCGTAAACCGCAAATCTTTGGGCTGCAAGAGATACAGAAGCGAAAATCCGTCTCTTCTACCCCCGACACATTGCAGAATCTGCAGACCTTAAAATTCCTAAATCCTAAACCCTAAACCCTTAACCCTCCCCACCCCTAATACTGAAGGACTAGTGAAGCAAGTTCTGGCCTGACGCAGAAATTGTCCCCTTGCTGCACGTTGGGAAATCGCCCATGCTCCTGACCGGCAAGAGCGGAACATTCGAGGCTGCACAGCGCACGGCTGCCATACCTATAAGCTTCGCTGCGAAAGCTCATAAGATGGAGGAGCCTGGCAAGAAAAAAAGGGAGAAGAGGGTTTAGGGTTTAGGGTTTAGAGTTTAGGGTCAGAAGCAAGGCCATTCCGAGCAAACAGGCCCACGGTCCATGTAGATCTTTGGCACGATCGCGCTGTGGGCAGGACTCCTTTCGAGTGCTTCTATACGGGTGGCTCTACGGGCACTTCAAAGGCTTTATGAAGCCTCGAGGGTGCGGGTTTAGGGTTTATGGGGTTTAGGGTTTATAGGGTTTAGGGTTTAGAGGGTTTAGGGTAAAAGGGTTTAGGGTCATTATTGAACTGCCGAGTGTCAAGGTAGTCAGGTCGGGGACCTGGCATTGGGCCTGGTTGTAGAAGTAGTCGCACTCGAGGCCATCCGACAAGGGAAGCTGCATCACAGGGTTTAGGGTTTATAGGGTTATAGGGTTATGGGGTTTAAGGGTTTAAAGGGTTTCGGCTCTCGCACTCGCACAAGGCAGGCAAGGACTCGGTTTAAGGGTTTAAGGGTTAAGGGTTTCGGGTTTCTGCTCTGACACTCGCACAAGGCAGGCAAAGGTTTAGGATTTTTTTGCCACCCGCACTGCACACACCAAGGGTTTAGGGTTTAGGGTATCGCTGCGCATCAGATTGCAACGTGCTGGCGCAACATCCGGGCCTTCGTGTCGTGCTTCAGCGCAGACATGGGAACTGTGATCTTGGAGTTGCCCGTGTCCGGGCCCTGGTAGCGCACCTTGAAGGCTTCGTGGCCACCCATCTCGCACATGTCTACCACCAGGCTATGGACACCTGCCGGAAGGAACTTCTCGTGGCTGGACTTCTCGGTTTCGCCATGGCAGCCGTTGTTGTCGACGAGCTTCTCCCCGTTCAAGTGCAGCAGAGAGCCTGCCAACAATGGGCTGCCTACACAACGCATGATGCGTATCCTTGCTCAGCTCAGGTGCCATCGTCTGAGGCGGTGTAGAACTTGTAATTTCCCGCGGTTTCGGTGACCAGATAGCCGCTGCACCTGCATATTTCTTGCCAGGCTGTTTAATTATGCATGCACAGCGGACGCAGCCCTCGTCGCCATCGCCCTGCCTCAGGCAGAAATTGTCTCCTTGGCGCACGTTGGGGAACTGCCCGTGCTCCTGACATCTATAAGAAGCTACAGGAGCACAGGCTGCGAAAGCAATTGTTTACGTCATCTACACTGACCTTTCGTGTTGATCCCGGTCCATGTAGATCTCCGGCAAGATAGCACTGTAGGCTGGGGTCCTTACAGTTTTTTTTATTCCTCAGCGCAGTTCGGGTGCACGGCATGGGAAGATGCAATCGAGTCTATTTAAGCTAGCCGGGAGGCATTGCAGCGAGATCAGGGATCTGGCACTGGGCCTGGTTGTAGAAGTAGTCGCACTCCAGGCCGTCCGACAAGCGCTGTCGCGGGGCGGGATTTCTGCTTCAGGGTCGGAGGTATATAGTGCCACTTGAGCTCAGGCGGCGGGCTGTGGGGTTTGTATACGTTCGCCTTCATTTTGTCCATGTGATGAAGAAACAGCGACACGTCGCGAAACTCTTCCTCTAGTACTGCTTGTAGTCTTACGATGTACATTACGTCAATCAGTACGTCCGCGGGTGCTCATTTCCGCAATTCTCGAGATTGCTTCTGCTCAGCTTCGTGTCCAACGTGACAACTAAACAACATGCAACCCCTGTCGATAACACTGGTACCCTTCAGAAACAAGGCCGGTACTTCAAAATCAGATTATAGTGTTGCAGATTGCATCGCTCCGTGAAACTTCGCATGTCCATTCCCAGCCTTACTTCCGCACGCCAATCTCAAAGTAGTCATTAACGACTGGCGCTCACTTGACGCTAGTTTCGCAAAGACGTGCTGATCAAAGTGCTGATTGCCGGTTCGGGCCTTGACTGAGTGCTTGAGCGCAGACATGGGAACTGTGATCTTGGAGTTGCCAGTGTCCGGGCCCTGGTAGCGCATCTTGAAGACTTCGCCACCACCCAGCTCACACATGTCCACCACCAAGCTATGGACACCTGCCGCAAGGAACATCTCGTTGCTGTGCTTCTCGATTTCTCCATGGCAGCCATCGTTGTCCACGACCTTCGCCCCATTCAGGTACATGAGCGAGCCTCCGGACACCAAAACCCTGATGAAAACGATGTGCAGCATGTGCAAGCGACCGAATCATGACCGAACAATGACCATACTGCCCAGCACTCTTTGTCTTAGCCCACTCTAGAAGAGAGAGCGTGCCGTCGTCCGAGCTCAGGTAGAACTTGTACTTGCCGTCGGTCTTCGTGATCAAACTGCCCGTGCACCTGCGGGTCACCCACAACTTCTATCCAGCCCATGGATTGACGACGGACGCCCCCCGCCTGATGCAGAACTGATCGCGTTTGCGCAGGTTGGGGAATCGTCCGTGCTCCTCTTGGAGGTTCATGGGTACTTGCAATAGTCAATTATAGGGTTCAGGGTTTAGGGTTCAGGGTTATCTCTACAACACATGCTCAGCGGAACGGCAGTTGCTCACAGTCCAAACTCCAAGCATCTTCAGTTCAACCCGAAGCCGCTCCATGAAAATCTGCGGCAGCACTGCTGAATGGGCTGGGGTCCTTTGCAGCCAGCATGCTCGCTGCTCGGGACATCCGGTCACATGTCGAAACTTGACATGCTGTAGCACGCTCTTCTTCGGGTTTCCGTGCGGGCAGGGTGGCTCCCATCTCTTCTTTTTTTCTCCCTCTCCCTCTCTCTCTCTCTCTTCTTCTACTTCTTCTTCTCTCTACCTCTGAAGTTTGAGCATGGAACCCCGGACCTGAAGACACTGCACAGGTGCGATACACTGAGTGCCGCTTGGGTTCAGAACTCCCAGATTCGGCACCTGGCACTGGGACTGATCGTAGAAGTAGTCGCACAGCAAGCCGTCCTGGACGTTGGCCTGCGAGTCCCCTAGCACAAGTAAACTTCCGACTCTTACCATCGGATAGAACTGACACGGCAATGGGGGAAGACATGGCGCTGTGAGTAGCCACGTAACCGGTGCTTTGGCTTGCTAAATCTGAGGACCGGTCTTCAGTAAACAAGGTGGTGGTTGTGGTGGTAAGTGTCGAGGTCGTTGTCGTTGTGCGGGTGGTCTCGGTGCTGCGAATCTCATCTATCTCTGGTATCACAGTATGGCTGCGTTCTGGGCGCCCGACCGTGCTTGTTGTTGTGGATGTTATTGTGCTTGTCGTTGTACTGGTTGTTGTCGTTGTGCTGGTGGTCGTTGTGCTGGTGGTCGTTGTGCTGGTGGTCGTCGTGGTGGAGGTCGTCGTGGTGGTGGTCTCAGTACTGGGCGAATCATGAACTGGGTAACCATCACCTCACCTCCTTCCTACAACCTTGCTCGAAAGGGCTGCGCAGCTCGCCAAACAGCTTTCGCACAGCAATGCAGATTCTCGTTTGCGAATCTCAGAGATGATGCATATGCACCACCTGTACTGCGCAAGAGCGTGTCGGGATTGTTGCAGGGGGATTCAAGCAAAACAAAGCCAGAACGAAGCCTTATAACCTTAGGCGCTCATGCCCAGCAGCGGTCAGGCAAGCGGAGCCCATGGTCCTCAGGCAAGTTCAGGGCATGCCCTGACAGCCACAATCCCGAACCTGCAGCTGCCCGAAAGTCAGCCTGAGAATCCTTACATTGGGATGTTCCGCCTCATACTAACAGTCCTTCATTGGGACTATAGTACACCCGTTTATATTCCCTACCAAGGACTGTTAGTATAAGGGGCAACATCCCAAACCCTACAGATAATCTGCTGCAGCCGGGGCCTTGCCCACATTTAGAATGCCGAGATTCAAGCATCTTCCGTCCAGCCATGCGCACTGCATGGTGCGAGCCTTAGGTTCACGCACACTTGTTTGTGGGAATGCTTTTTTGGGTTTTGTCACTGTGGAGGGATTTAGCAGGGATTATAAGGGATCCATTTAGGGCTTGGTGTAGGGTTTCGGATCCTGTACTAGCCAAAGGAAGACCATACATCTGGAGCCTTCGAGGTAGCAAGCACTTTCTCACTCGGTTGAAACATTGACTTCAATTTGTCATTGTAACAATATTGTGCCGAAACAAAAGTATAAGAACATTTGAATAGACATACAGTAATATCACAATCTAACAAGAGCATATGATACATTAATGAATAAGACTCAAAGTACTACAAAAGAAGATTCCATGGCAAGGTCACAATCCAGCAACATCACTGTAACATGATGTCATTTTCATTGATATAAAAAATCACAATAAACTCCCGCAAGACCGCAAGTCCCCTGAAAAAAAAAGCTTCCAGCATGTTGACTGTGCCGCTCCCACCGTCACGAAACGACTGTCACAGTCTGCCTCCTGCCATGAGGTTTCGGGTTTGGGGTTTAGGGTCTGGGGTTCAGGGTTTTGGCTCTTGGGTTTCAACCTAATACCCCAAACCAGAGAGGTCGCATCTCGCAAATTGGCGACTCATTACTCATGGCAAACAAGCTTTGTTTCAGGCCCACGAAGCTTGGGGCAACCCCAAACACATGCAAGTCTTCAGGGCGTGTTAGACTGTATAGGTCTTCCGATGTCAGGGCGCAGACGAAGGTCGACAGTCAGGGCTTCTGCAGTGGCGGCATCACAGGACTATAGCCGGCAAGCATGACCTTTGTTAAGCCCTTGTTCCTCAAAGCAACAATCACAAGGGCCCATTGCCCAAAATGAAACTGCAACAAAGTGTATGGGGTCATCTTTGCCTCTGGGACTGCAGCAAATCGGATCCAAAATGGGATGAACCGTCTTAGGTCTTAAGGCTTTGTAAAGGGTTGAGCTGCGGCTTGGGTACCTGGTCACTGGCTTTGGGCAGAGAGCTTCAAAATCCACACACACACACACACACACACACCCTCCCCCCCCGTGCCCCCCTGCCCCCTGCCCCCTCAGTCGCCTGCAAGTGTGAGCACGTGCTGCCCTCCACAATCTGTCCCTGCCGTGGCGCGAGGGCTGGGGTCATCTGCAGTCAGAGGGGGGAGATCTCCAATTCTCCTGAAGTTCGGATTCTAGATCCCGCTTCCAAGTGGGAAGGAGAAACATGATCACGATCATGTCAGTCAGGCTAGAGCATTCGAGGCAAGTGCTGAATATAAGCTCAGGAACTCGGATGCTCGGGCAGGCCAAGCAAGGATTGGGAGAGGGGTGCTTTGAGTGCGTGCTATCCGATGTGCGAGTCTGGGCGTTTATCAAAGCATTAAACTTTATGGTCGAGCGGAAAAGATCCCCCAAGGCGCTAGACCAACCAGAAAGAAAGAGAGCATGAAGCGATGCCGCCCTCGCACTGCCCTCACATACCACATGAATCCCATCTTGTTGGTGGCTGCAGAGGCACGTTGCTGTTAATATGGGGGTTTATGAAAATAACGGGTATCTCATTGGGGTCCTTCTTATAAGGGGATCCGAATATTTGGGGAGCTAATATTGGGGGTCCCCTTTTTCGCAAACCCCCATAATGTGTCAACCCCCTTATGCATCTCTCCTGGCAAAGCCCCACCTGGCACTCACGGAGGATCTCCTCCTCGACCTGCTCATGGCGCTTAATGCCCGAGCTAAAAGGAGGCGAGTTGACGCCGAAGGACCAGCTCCCATCCTTGCCGTCCTGGTGGGGATGTCCGATAAAACAAGTAGGGGTACCCCTTGTATACCCCAAAATACTATATGGGTTTGTGCGATAATGGGGGGGGGGGGGGGGGGGGGGGCGACGGGGTTGGGATCAGGGTATGTTTCGCGGGTATGTTTCGCGGTATGTTTCGGGGTATGTTTCGGGGGGGGTATGTGTCGGGTATGTTTCGCGGCATCTTGAGCTACTTTATCTGCAATTTCGGCGGTATGTTACAGGTATGTTTCGGGGTATGTTTTGCGGGTGTGCAACCCGTGTGCCCTTCTTAAACCTGGATCCCCCCAAAAAACACAAACCCATATTGCTATAATCCCTTCAAGGGAACCAACAAAAAAGGGAACCCCCGCCTATTTTCGGAAACCCCCTCCTTGCTGTCATCGGCAACCTTCACCTCCTTGGCCTTGCTGTTCACCGCCTGGACATCTGCGCTGGAGAAGTCCTTGAGCGCGGCGATGGCGCGGGACCTGCTCTCCCATGACACGAGCTCATCGGGCATTGCAGCCAAGATGAGGGCGAACTGATCTGCGATGTTCACCAAGGGGATCGTCGTCTCCGGGCTCTGGTAGGCTGGGCCGAAGCCCATCTGCAATCCAAGCTGAATCCAGTTGCCCGAGAGCAGGCCTTTGACCTCAAAGTTGACCACACCAGCGTTCTTGAAGCTGAAGAGCTTGAAGACGTTTGCTGCCGACTGGGCCTCGGATTCGGACTCCATGGCGCTGATGCGCTTCCGAGCTTCTTGCCCTCGCAGCTCGGAGGTCTTGTTGATGCCCAGATCCTTCCCGTATTCGACCGATGCCAAGTACAAGTCGTCTTCCTGCTCTTTCCAGTACAGCGACTTCTCCAACTGAGTCTGCGCACGTGCCTTGCTGTGGTTGCTTTCCAGAAGAGCCGACCGTTTCATGGAAGCCATGCCAGTCCCGCTCTCTGAGCCTGTGTCTGAAACCGCAAAGTAGCTTCGAGCAGTTTGATGGCCGCCATTGATGTTGTCCGTCACGAAGTGTGTATCCTTGCCGAAGCGCTTGGCCAGGCGGAGCGTGCGGCTGAAGAGCATGACGCCGTTGGACCTGATCTCAGAGCGCAAGACGCTCAGGTCGAGCCCGCCCGGCTGATTTCTCGGCCAACACACCTTGGTGAACTTTTTCCAGAAAAGCACATAATTCTGTAAAGGAACGCCAAAAAGGGCAGCCCCCATTCTCGGAAACCCCCACATGAGTGTCCCGACTGCGCTTCATGGAATCTTCTTAAAGGGACCCCCTTAAGAACGGCGGCCCACATTTTCGGACACCCCCCATGTAAGATCCTGGCTTGGCTGTCCACCTCAGCCAGAGGCCCGGGCAGCAAGTCAAACTGGATGCCACCGACAAAGGCAACGACGGGCTGCATGTTCAACTGGAAGCTCACGGTCACACACTTCTCGATGGCCGTGTCCGCAGTGTAGAAAGAATAGCCCTGCCACTTGTTCCAGTTGTCCTTCATCCACTTGTTGCCGCACGGAACCGCCCAAGGTTCCAGCTTCACGAAGTCATCCTCAGTCGGCGCTTGCCAGTCTTTTTGAGTAGCCTGGTTGTCGCTGCCGGTCTTGTCCCTTGGCGCAAAGGCCAAGCAGGATCCCGTGGCGGTCTCCCTGCCATCGAACCTCGGAACTGTTTCGCTGCGGCACAACAGTGCGCAACTGCCCGACTGCAGTGCAATTCGGCAATACTCCCCTTGCGTCTGTGTGACGATCCTCCGACGCCCCCACTCGTGGTCCGGCGCCGAGCTGACTTTTACTTATGAGGAACATGCTGCAACAAAAGACAAGGAATTGCTGTCCACTGAAGGACATCCCGAATACACTCTTGAACTAGAAGAAAAGTGCATCCTCAGCCTCAACTCCTCCCCTCCCCCCCTACATGAGACAAGCAGCTGGGTCACCAATGCTCTGGTCTTGGGCCCATAGTCACTGAAGCCCCAGCTGACTGCGGCTGGAGGCTCCTCGTCCTCCTCATCGTCGCCACGCTGTGCCTGGGTCAAGGATTGCATGGGTTGGCCAAGGGCCCTTTACGACAACGGACGCATCCTGCACCTCAGGTCCAGTGAAGAGTCATGCAAAGACCCTAAACCCTAAACCCTAAGCCCCTAAACCCTAGACCCTAAACCCTAAACCCTAAACCCCTCACACTATCCCCTTGAAACCATCCGGCAAAAACCATTGCAACGGCAACATAACAGCGATCCTTCGCGGCCGCCATCTCCTGCAACAACTCGGCTTGTCCACTGGGCGCGTGCTGCGAGTGCTTCGTGATGAGGAGGTTGGGGCCTGAACCAGGCTTCAACTAGCTGGTTCATAGCAGGGAATGAGGCAGGGAATGAGGGAATTAGGGCCCTGTGTAATCCCGTAAAGGGTATATATAGGGCCCTCATTGCCTCATTTCCTACTCAGAACTATGCTTCAAGGGTTTGGGGCGTCTTGCATTTAACGAGCTGCAGGCGGACGGCGCAGTACATGTCAGAACACCAGTGTGATTTCTCGAAGAAGTCACTCTACATCTTATTGAGCACACTATATCGTACCATTGCAGTGTTCACGTTTCGAGTAGCTAGGACGTGATTGACATTCTGATAGCGATAGGGGCACATGTGAAATGCCGCCCTCTTGTAAGCCAGAAACATGGAGAATGCCTCAGGAAAATCACAAAATAAAAAAACAAACTGTCCTGGGACAAGCTCTCAAAGCTTGGATTTTATTTGTGGCTTACTATGCTCTTGATAAGCATAGGAAAGCACACGCAAAACAAAAAGACAAGCAAGCACAAAACACGCATCATCAAAAAGTGCAAGACCAAAAACAGGCAAACACACAAAAGTGCAAAACATGCCAGAACAGGAGCACAAAAAAGGAACACACATTTAGACAACATGGAAGTTTGGGTTTTTGTTTTCGATACTGACGGTTCATTTTCCATGCCACGGTTGGTGCAGAAACTGCCTCCAACAACCTCAAAACCTCGGCGATGCGACGCAATGACCTGCTTTGCCGATCCACAGAAGGTATACCCTAAACCCTAAACCCTAAGCCTGCCTCTGTGGTGCACCATGGGTGGAGAGTCGGCAGAAGGGAACTCGGAGGTGGCAGCCACCTGGGGTAGATTCCCGAAGCAGGGGGTCCGCACTCTGTCTGCTGAGGGTTGGGAGATGTTTTAAGGGCCAAATGAAGGGACCTCCTAAACCCTGTTTAAGCACGGGCTGAGGAGGCTGCCGGCAACACCTGAAAGCAGGGCCTTCTTGCCTGTAGCAAGGGTTGCATCAACAGGCGAAAGGTTTCCCAGCAACCCTAAACCCTAAACTCTAAATGATTTCGAGCTGGGCACCTGTAGCAGAGACTGTCCACCCTTCATAGCCTGTGTGGCCACTGTAGCGGCCACCTTCGCGAAGGCCTCGATGAACTCGCTGAAGATGTCGCCCAGGCGATTCAAGAAGTTCAGTGGAGGGACGCTTCCCACAATCTTGTAGCCGAGACACTGGATCAGGTCACCTTGCGAAGTCGGGTTGGCGCACCGCATGAGCTCGTTGCCCATTGTGAGCGTTGTTCTGATGGAGTCGGGCCGGCCACCTGCAACGAGCTGCACTGGCTCAGGCAGGAGATCCAGAATGTTGCCATTGGACAGCGTCTTCACTGGGTCGCTGACAAGATCCATGATGTTGCCTCCCGCAACTTTGTTCAGCGGATCTGGCAGGAGGCCCATGATGTCGCCACCGGCAATCTTGTTCAATTGATCTGGCAGGAGGCCCATGATGTCGCCACCGGCAATCTTGTTCAATTGATCTGGCAGAAGGCCCATGATGTCGCCGCCCGCAACTTTGTTCAGTGGACCCGGCAAGAGGCCCATGATGTTGCCACCGGCAATCTTGTTCAATTGATCTGGCAGGAGGCCCATGATGTCGCCGCCCGCTACTTTCCTGACTGGATCAGGGACCAAATCGAGAATTCTTCCGTGCGCAACTGATTTCACGGGGTTGGGCAACAGGTCGAGGATGCCTCCATTTGAAAGAATTTTCACTGGGTTTTCACTGGGTTTGGCATCCAGTGCAGAGGTGGCGCCAGACGCATGATCCAATGTCCGAGGCAACCAATCAGATGATGGTGATGGCCGCGGTGGGGACAGTGCATAAGCTCAAATCCCACGCTGAACACGGTCCTGACGGCCTCGTAGTGCGAGTGAGCCACAAGCTTCACTGGGTTTGGCATCCAGTGCAGAGGTGGCGCCAGACGCATGATCCAATGTCCGAGGCAACCAATCAGATGATGGTGATGGCCGCGGTGGGGACAGTGCATAAGCTCAAATCCCACGCTGAACACGGTCCTGACGGCCTCGTAGTGCGAGTGAGCCACAAGCTTCACTGGGTTTGGCATCCAGTGCAGAGGTGGCGCCAGACGCATGATCCAATGTCCGAGGCAACCAATCAGATGATGGTGATGGCCGCGGTGGGGACAGTGCATAAGCTCAAATCCCACGCTGAACACGGTCCTGACGGCCTCGTAGTGCGAGTGAGCCACAAGCTTCACTGGGTTTGGCATCCAGTGCAGAGGTGGCGCCAGACGCATGATCCAATGTCCGAGGCAACCAATCAGATGATGGTGATGGCCGCGGTGGGGACAGTGCATAAGCTCAAATCCCACGCTGAACACGGTCCTGACGGCCTCGTAGTGCGAGTGAGCCACAAGCCTCACCGGGTGAGGCATAAGGTCGAGGACTCGTCCGTCCCAGACCATCCTCACCGGGTGTGGCAGAAGATCCTTGATTCGGTTGTCCCAGATCATCCTCAGCGGGTGTGGCAGAAGATCCTTGACTCGTCCTTGTGCGACCGTCCCCAGCCGTCCTGGCCATGAAAGGGTTCTCCATCCCCAGTTGAAGTTGAACAGCTCGGTCTCCTGGCCCATGAGTCGGATAACGCATCTCTGGTTCCCGAAGTTGACGCCCCAGTGATGGTCGTCTTGGCTCTGTCAAGCAGCACGAAAATGACATTTAGGACATCCACGCAGTCATGCAGGCCGTATAGAACCTACTAGGCCTGTTCAGACTGCGACTAAAAGGAGCGGCCCGGTAATGAAACGAGCCTCCGAGGAATTATCTGACTTCCTTGGCTCTTGAGAGCCACATAAGTATGTTTTCTCGTTCGTTGGCCTGTTAAGTACAAGTTCACACACACAAATAAATGGTCACCCCCCCCGCCCCCCCCCCCTCCCAAGATCTACACCCTCCTTGTCTACACTACTCTTCTGCTTGCTTCCACGCACTTGTGTACAAGTAGTGCACGCCGAAAACACTGTAAATACCTATAAAATCGTACTTGTCGAGTATGGACGCGACTATTTTACGTAACACATTATGCAAAATGTATGTAAAATCTGCAACCGAATTTCGGTTTAAAATTGTGTGACCTTTTATACTCCGAAAGCCAAAAAACCTGGAAGATATAGCAGTCTTGCTGTTTACACCTCATTAAACTCGTGTTTATTTTGTACTTTACTGTTGTCTTAGTAAATAAATACATAGTTCGAAACAACATCTTAGCTTGTGTACTTGTGACTATATTTCTCTCAGCGATTGACGGTCTGCTGGCGTGCTGAGCTGGTCTGAAGCGGTTTCTTTCAGGATTCCCAGGAAATGGTGTCTCATACAACAACAAGTAATAGGACAATTCCTACGACTAACCATAACAAGATTGTTATGGCTACTATTTATAGTAATAATTGGTTCCGTGGTAAAATGAGTCCGCTGCATTGCAGGGGTTTTGCAAACTCGAAGTCTTGCTTATCGGGCGGCGTGCGGCGTGTGTCCCAATAGCTGTCCTTCACTGCTCATTCGAAGCATTCTGAAAATAGGAATTCATACTAAATCGACACAACCAGTATGTACTTAGTCTTGAATTTCTCTGCAATGAATATTGCATTGGTGTGCGTTAAATTAGTATTTAATGTGCCTAGGTGATCAACAGATTGCTTGGAAAAAGCCTTATTTCTTTAAAAAAGAACGAATTGCTTAG